CCGACAAGCGCGGTTGACCGAGTGGCGAACGCGTGCATTAAGTATTGCGTTGGGAGCACGCGATTGACAACACGCGGCCGGTGTGTCGCGTACCAGAAATAGATTCGACCAGTATATACAGTGTCCCCTGTGCATGCTATACAGCGCTTCATGTTCTATTTTGTAGATCGGTTAAAACTTTCTTCAAACTACTTTGAAGCTATTTCCTTCGAAGTTTCGAAACTGGTCTCGCAAAATTAGACCGTCAATTTGTGCGCCGCGTCGAGACATAAAAAAACATTTATTATATCAAATGACATTTTATATTACGAGTATACACTGGAAAAAATTGTTAACTTGATTAAACCTTTCAACTAAATATTTGATTAATTGAACATATAAAAATATTTAAATTAAATATAATATATTAAATCAAACACAAAACATATATATTTTATTTTTGACTTAAATACTAATATATGTTCAACTAACAAAATAGTAATTTAGTTGAAAGATTTATAGCAATTTCGATTGGATGCACTAGTGCGCATTAAGTGCATATATAGGTAAAGGTTTCATACACAAGATCACAATGGAAACATAATTAATAGCACAAGGAAAATAATTAATAGTAAGAGCTACTTATTGTTTAATGCGAATGATACTAATAGCTCTTATTATCAATTTACTTTTTTAATTACTTATGTCATTGCAAAATTGTGTACGATAACCTTTATGTGCATTCAGTGTGCATTGCACCAGTGCATCCAACCGAATTCGCTATTAGTAAAATTAACAAATTTTATTTCAATGCGTATACTCTAAATTTAGTAGAATATATTTTACATTTTATCTTACGATAAAAGAAATATTTGTGAAAATATGAATTCATATTTTTCCCTTCTTATTTTTATTTATCTATATTTCTCGACAGTTATTTCTAATTTTAATTTCATATGTATTTATCGTATATTATGCGTAATATAGAAACATGTGTTACACAAACAGCCATATGTCGAATGATCATTTTTCATGAAACTTATTCTAGGTCATATGTGAAATTAGGTGACTTCAGCTGTCGATATGGATACTACCCGCGACTTTGATGCACCTCAGGGGGTCCGCTTATAGATCTCAGTTATAGATAATTGCGTTTGAATTATTTCTCTGTCTACAATGAAAACTGATCCACGCTGACTTGACATGTATCCATCGTGCGAACAATTCGCGAACAATATATCGCGGCGATATCTAAATGGAATTACGGAATCTCTGCAAAACTTTCCGCAGTGCGTATCGAACTAGAAATCGGGATCGAACAATAGAATCAAATGTCTCACGATTATAAGATTCATGTAATCACTGACGTACGCGTTTAAAGCAAAATTTCTCTCGCGTTTATTCTTGACTAATAAATTCTCTCATTCACAGAGAGAATTTTTTCTTAAAATTTACTCTGAAAATTATGGTAATCGTGGGATAATTTGATATTTTGGAAGAATTTTATAAAAGACTTTCTGATTAAATATTTTATCACAATAAAAATATAAATGTGTAAAATTAATCAAACATATTTTATAAAATTCTTCCAAAAAATACTATATTGTTCAACGATTACCATAATTTTCAGGGTAAATTCTAAGAGAAAATTCTCTCCATATAAATTTGCGATATATTCGAAAATTGTAAAAGAATCCAAAATTTCCGCCTCGTAGAAAATCGAGCTGAAACTCGTCAAAGAATGTTCGTAGATAAAAGAGAAAGATAACAGGGGATAATTCTAGAACATCGTATCCGGATAGATATCGTCGAATATCGGCGTTTCTCACCGTAAATTTCTCTTTGATCAATTTGGCGTCCGCTCTTGTTCAACGAAAATTTGATAATACTTTCATAGAGACACTGTGTGTATATTTGTATGTGTGTAATAAGAAACAAAATCTATCTATCAAAAGATGCGCGCAATTGGAGTAGCTGCTCCGGTTACTTCCGCTTCGCATTTCGCCTTTTATCAGCAGCGGTTTACAACCAGTATATCGCGTGAATGCAAAATGCAGCCATCAATTTCGAGGAGCACGTTATCATTAAATTTCATTATATTAATAGCAAGAAAAATTTTATACATATAGTTTCATTAGCATAATTTCTCCGATTATTTAATCTAATAATTATAGCGTTATAGCTCTTAATCCTTTTGTCAATGCATAATTTTTCTCCTTTTCATTAATGTAAGAATACTAACTGTGTTTTTCATATACATTGCACCATTACAATTTTTTGAAAGCACCTGCTGGGCATCGAATACTTTTTCCATTATATTTTAGATTTCTGAATACAAAGCTTTGTTGTTTCGTTTCATACAGAGAAAAGTTCCGATATAGTTTTAATATGTAAAGTTGTTTTGGATATCCGATTATCCATCATTGACAGAAGGATTTATAAAATAAATAAATAAAACAAAAATACTCTGCATACATAAATACAGAAATTTAGATAGGAAAAATGGACAATAAGAGTTAAATACACAAATCAGATGTAATACAAACTTTTCCATCGCATATTTGCTAGCGATTTATTTACGTTTGACCTGTAATTTTGAAACCGTCTGTTTTATTATATATATTTCCGCTCCTTGTTCTTCATCTCGTCTTCGATCGTTTTAGTAAGTTTTTTTACTCACATTTTCTCATTTAAATGTTTAATAACACATAATAATTTCCTATAATTTTTAAGACTGTCAATATCTGACTTTTTGAGTTATTTTTATTATCTCTGAATTGATAAAAGATTTATCAAAGACGGAAAAAAAATCAAGATGAATGATTTATTTTTTTTTGTCAGTTGATCGATTTGTTGAAGATAATTCACAAAGAGGAAAAGAATCGAATCGTTCAATCGAGTAAAGAAGATTTTAAGGCAAGTTTTTGTTGCGCCTATGGCTTTAATTAGCTAGCTCATTTTCCATCTGAATTTTTGTATTTAAAAAGAACATTTTTGTAATTGAGGTTTAATTTCTTTCAAGCATGCAATATAAAAATCCGTTGTTTTTCATCCCATGAAGGATAAACAAATCTACTAAATTGCGATTTCGCGTATTTCGTGAACGGACACGAAGTGATATATTTATCACGGAAAAAAATAAGCTACAATAATTAATTTTTAGCTGCGTCCTCATATTACAACCTGAAATTTAATTATCATATCTAAATTTTAGTTATGATAACTAATATTTTAGATATACTTTATCGGAAAAATATATAGCTAAAAAATATTAATTATTATAGCTAAATTTTAGGCATAATAACTAAATTTCATATGTACCTAATATAGGGAAAGCTATAAAATTTAGCTATAGTAGCTATTTTTTTCTAATAAGCGGAAGTGGAAAATGTGTGCAACAAAACTCCGTCACGACGAGTGGAGCGCAATTTTACGCTCTCACTCACTCTCTCTCTCTCTCTCTACAACAAAATTATGAAATTATTGAATATATGTTCAGCTATTATATATAACGATATAACACCCGATATAATGAAATTTCGACATGACGTGAATTTGATCGTAAGCGAAATTAATCGCATAAATCACCGTTATTTACATGGACTACTGTCTCTTGAAAAGCAATTAAGAGTGAAAAGTAATTTTACTTTTAATAAAAATTTCTCACTGAGAAAAAAAACAGACTTTATTAGAAACTCTCTCGCTCGCGACAAAGGACTTTAATCATCGATGATTGAAGAGTTAACAATCGATTTGAATAAATCGTGAACCGTAATTGAATTTGCGTGTCGTAACTAAAATCAATTCGATTTGTTGCTTAATTTAATGCGTGATCTTAAGCCGTTATTATAGATTGTGTCACATATCATATATTCTAAAATTATATAGAGATTGCAAATATTTCAATTGATAAATATTTCACAAGCTGATATGATTTAAACTCATCCCTATATAACAAATAATGTAAACATTACATCATGTATGTAAAATCTACGAATCCGCGAAGATAAAACATTTTATTTTATAAATATTTGATAGCAAATTCGATTCTCACAACGTGAGATTTCATTATTTTAATATTACATAAGAAAAGCTTATGATATCGGATATTGTACGTTAATACCATTTGTTTTATTTATTTATAATTTAGGTACCGCGTTTCTTATCCTGTTTGTTCGTTTATCATAGCAAAAATTCAAATTCGGAGATTATTTAATTTATTATAATGCAAAAAATTGTATATAGATATACACAGAAATAGAAATTAACTATATCTTACAATTAGATAAAAAATAAATTATATTTTACAATCTCCATTTATTACAATTTACTTATATTATGCCTAAATTTTAGCTGTAGAAAATATTTTTTAGCTATAGTTTAACGTAAAATTCTATAAAATTAAAAAATATTCTATAATATTCTATTAGCTATTATACACTGAAAAAAATGTGTTAACTAAACTTTTCGACTAAATATTATTTTGTTAATTGACGATATAAAAATATTTAAATTAAATATAATATATATCAAATCTAACAAAACGTATATTTGACTTAAATATTAATAAGTATATGTTCAATTAACAAAATAATAATTTATTTGAAAAGTTTAGTTATATATATATATATAATTTCAGATGAAATATATAGTGATAGCTAAAATTCACTATGGTGGCTAATTTTTTTCCATATAAGATCTTGGTTAGATACATTTTTGTCGAGATACCCAAAATATTCCGATCGAACACAGATTTTCCCACCAATGGAAAACCATCGCTAATCGTAATTAATTGAATTATTTACGACCGTCTGTCATGAGATAGAGCGCAATTTAGCTAAACGCTTGGCAAAAGGCATCGATGAAAACACATCGATAAGACATCGAAATGATTGGTATAAGAATATCGCGCCAGTTTTGCAATCAAAACGAGGCGCGCATTTCGTCGCTTCGGAAAGAGCCATCAGATTCGCAGTGCGGAATATATACATATACATACATATAAAATGTAAGACACTCACCCAGAGCGATCCCCTCAACCGCGCATCCTCCCGAAATGCTCTCTCCACCTCCGTCTCTTCCTGCGTCGTCGTCTCTGGTCGAACAGCGAGCCGGTGCATCAGGGACGATTCCTCGTGGAGGATCCGTCGTCGCACGGAATTCCGCTCGCCGAGTCACAACGAGGAACGACGACGCGGCGCGGATTCGCGCATCTTCGTCGGGACGGCGTTTTTCTCTCTCCTCCCTCGACGTTTTCTCGCAGCACGTCGCGACGAATGAACGGAGGCTGACCGGGCGCCCGAAATCGCGAAAAATCTCGAGCACACTCTCGCAAATCACGAGATATTACCGGTTCGAGGCGGGCGAGGATATTCCCGGAGCATAACGAGTTTTCGGCTCGCCCCGCCGGGAGGAAAGGGATGAGGAACGGGAGAGAGAAGGAGAGTGAGATACGTCTGTCGTGTGTGTATGTGTCGCGTGTGTGTCGGGAGAGAGCGGCGAGGTGCGAGTACTTGGCGCGACAAACGAGGGAGAAGAGTCCGAATATTCGTGACTCTGTCTGACCGGACGAAAGCGGCTACGTTTCGCGCGTCATGTCCGCGTCGTGGAGAGAGAGACATGGAAAGAACGAACGTGAAGGAAGAAGGGTGAACGCGCGCGCGATGCGAGAAGAGGCTCCCCGTAATTACGAATACGCTGCTCGAACGACAGCATTCGACTGACATGACGTTGGTCGAGGAGCTGAAGTTTGGCGCGGAACGCGCGCCAGGCGTCGGTGGCGCCGCGTAGCGGCCGCCTCCGAAACTATCAAATGTCATACCTGTCAATATGTCATAAATGTAGTCGAACGTTTTTTACGTCAAAAATGCTGTTTCAGCTGACTCGTAATTCGCGAATTTTCACTTGTAATCTTACATATTGTGTAATGTAAAAAATATTTCAAGAAATTTACACTGTATACTTTTGTCTCGAATTTTTCATAAATTATATATAGATATAGAAATTATAGCCTAAAGACCTGGATTTAAAATTAAATAATAAGATCACATATTGTAAACATATTTAAAAATTTGTCAATAGTATATTTTTATCATCAGATAAAAATGGGAATCTGTTTTACCGATTCATAATAATAACGATCGCGTGCTTATCAACACTTCAAAATGGCGCACGTTCTCGAAAAAAGAGGACAGCTATATATTATTATTCTCATAAACGTGTCAATCGCAGTTTTTCGCACAAGATATAAGTATAATCGGACATTTTTGAGAGAAAAGAAATTATATAGAAAGCAAAGTGGCTAAATCCGATAAGTACGCATAATCCAATCGATATAAAAACAATACAAAACATACTATATCCATGTGTCTCTTTATATAGTTTGGTTATACAATCGTCGATGCAGCTGCATCTGCATCTTCGTGCGGAAAAAGGAGGACGCGACCAGATCCATGGGTGAGAAAAGGAGAGAAAGTTCATAGGAAGAGGGTATATGTACATACGCAAGACCGAAACCACGTGACACAGAGTGCGCCTACACCAGACGCGCCTGGCACGAGCCCGCAATACGGCTAAGTTTCGCCGACCTCTCGCTCTCGGGCGCCCGTTAGTAGGCCACGATCGTCGCTGGCCGGCGCGATGAACGTCGTCGTCGTCGTGGTCGCACGCCGACAGCGCGACATCCGCGTCATCCTCGAGACGGACCCTCGCGGCTCCACGCCGCGACTCCCATCATCGCCGTCTCACCGTCGAGCTTGAGCTGGCACAAGCGTCACGTCGTGCAACGAGTGCACGGGCACGAGGTGAGAGAAAGAGAGATAGAGAGAGATTAAAATTCCGTTCGCATTCGGCGGACGCGATAAAAGTGAGCGAGAGAGGGAGAGGGTGTACGACGAAGTCTTCCCTCCCGTTCGCGAAATCCGCGTACAGTCGATGCTTGTCGCTGTCAAACGGAACGAGAAGCGGAATTCGCGCGTCCGTAGCGATGCAGTTTTTTTTTCTTCCCTCTCGCTTCCTTCTGCGTTCAGTAGTGTCGATTCCACCAGCCGGTCTCGACGCGTTTCAGAGAGACAGGCGTTAATTAAAAAGCTATTAAGTTGGAAAATAAAGAAAACCGCTCTGTAGAGAGAGAGAGAGATCGATTTTTCACTAGCGTATATATACTTTGTACTACACATGTGCATACTCGACTTTATGCAAACGATGTAATCTAAATGAGTCGGAGGTGCAATTAACGAGATGTTACAAAGTGCGTGTCGTTCTTGTAAACAGAAACGTTGATGAAGTTTTGCACGCGCGTATATTATGTATTATGTCGCGAGATGACAGATAACGCGCGACAGAGATGACAGCGTGCGATCTCGGATGAATTCGGAGGAACGATTTTCGCGATCGATTCTTCGGACCACATGGCGGGGTTTAATTTAACGAGGAATATTTCGCGCAAGGTGAGACGAATTGCGTTCCTGTTACGCGTAATTAATTGCAATCGATCGTTTCGTCGCGCTCATGTCTTATCGTGTCCCTCCTGCCGTCCCCCGCTCGATCGAGAGTAAAGAAAAACCTGCCGCGCTTTTTTATTCCTTGACGTGATGTTATTTGATTAAAATTCACCGCGGCCTTTTCTTATCGCTCGCGGTTACGTGATTATCAATGAAATTTTAACGAGCACAAAAAGATTGAAATTATCGATATTTACTCTGTACAGTCTTATGTCTTAATTATGTAGAACGTAATTGATTATGTTAAATTTAATTACTTTTTGTTTCTGTTTTTTTCAAAAGATGTAAATATTTTATAATCTTTTGATACAAATGAAATCACGAATATATTTGTTGCTTGCGATTTCATTAAATATTGCACGAGAAATAAAATTGTGATAATAGACTATTCGCGTTTATATTATATTTAAAAAAAAATATGAAGAAAATATCTTTTCATAATATGTAATTATTTTTTTACTCAATTATTTTTATAGTTTTAATTGTATTCTCGCACTATTATATTTTCAATCTGTATAAATTATATTTATCTTGTTTAAGTTCCTGCACTTTATAGGAATAAGGATGTCGAAGCGGCTGAGTTTCTATGGTCTGGTAGTCCTGGGGTCCATCTGCATCTTCTTCCTAGCATTTAATCAACGCTACAGCAGCTATCTCGAACATCGACTGCAGCCGGTGATATCGGTCAGTAAAAATTCGGAGGTGGGGATTGCTCTAAATTGAGTCACGCCAAACACGCTCTTTCTGACGGTAAAGTCTAAACTTTTGCACCTCTAACTCTTTCTTATCAGTCTCTCTTTATACATTAACAATATTAGACAAAAAAAAGAAAGAAAAAAATTCCACAAAATCGACGCACATTCTTCTTTCTTCTTTTTCATTTTTTTTCTTTCATCTCTTATTCTCTTCCTCTTTCACGCACTGTTTCAGAACTTTACAAAATGTTATGAGCGAATAATATTTTGTAAGTTGTCTCAAATGCGCTATCAAATATTCACGAGTAAAGATAGAGAAGATGAAAAATTTCAAGTTAATGCGCTAGAATTTTTCAAAAGTTGTTGATTCATCTACTTTGTGATATTTGATTATGTCTACTAATAATGTATACTTTGATGAAGACGTGACTCTCTCATGAGATCTGATTACAGTGCCCCGGAGACAGGTGTAACATAATTTAATTATTATGGTCAGCATGTGTGCTTGCGCGTAGACTCTCACTTTTACAGCAATTCACTCTCTTTTAATTTATATAAGAATATATAATAGTACCTCACAGTTCTTATATATTCACGGGTATCCCCGGGTGTTCTATATATCTATTTGCACTTGCATCCTCCAAGGGCATTAATATACCTACGTTGAAAAAGAGGGAGGAAGATTTTTTATCTTATATATCTCACATCAGTGGTGCATTCGCGCTCACGACGCACAATCAAAACGCTAAAACATCGATGCTTTTCTTCTTCGAATAGGATGGTGAGATAAGGCCAAGGACTACAAAAATTCAAGAACCGGTAACGGTAAGCCAGGTGTGCATCGATATTGCATAATGCGAACTGTCATTCTCATTTTTGTTAGAATTTGTTTGCTGTTAGAGTGTTAATTGTCGTTTGATTGTCTTATCTTATCGTAACATTGACACAAATACAATAACGGAAGACGTAATTAGTTTTAGAAATATCTATGTTTTTCATTTTTCATTTTTTATGTTGTATTATCTTGATAGCTAATGCAATGTGATAAAAATATTTTTATCAAAGCAATTAAAACATTATTAATTACTTATGACTTATAATAAAATATTTTTAATCGTTATTAACTACCAGAAACTAATTAGCTCTTAACTCTTGTAAATATTTTTAAATATTGTAAATATTGTTATTAACTGTCATTAATGTTTAATGAATAAGAACAATTATATAAAAAAAATAATAAAGAAAAGTGTACAGTAGAACGCACATTTTCGATAAAAAAGATTCATACTTTTTTATCAACTTTATCTTTCTTTATTGCGTTATGCTGCGCACTTGACTTTCTCAATTAAATTAAAAGCAATTTTAAGTGAAGTATCATAACTTATATCAATATTATTTTTTACTAACATATTTTCCATTCTTTAATAATGCTTGAAATTTTTGCGTTGCTTATTCAAGAAATTGTATGAAGTTGTATAGATAAATACTAATAGGTGATTAAATATTTGTACAAGATTACGAGATTTAAGTTTTTTTTTTGCAAATTAACATGATAATTAAAATATGCCTGTGCTATAGAAATCTGCTTCTACGCGATTTGAGCTTCAAATCTAATCCTTTTATTTATTTAAAATATGTGTCATACCTTCCTCTCTTATTATATTGAAGTATGTTTTGACATGCATTTATTTGCATTAATGTCCCTAATGCTATAATAATTCTTCGTTTTTAATCGGTTCAATTTATCTTTTAGGCATATATTACGGGTTACACGGAAAATGCCACAATCACCGAAATTCAAGATGTGGTTGATCAACAGAGAAGGGCTATAAGAAGGGAAATGGAAAATTATGAATACCCCAACGGAAGATATGGGATAAACGTGAGGTAAATTTTATACACGCGCCAGAAATCGCTTTAAAAATCCTTTCACAGATATATATTTAAAAAAAAATCAGTGCACTTAATCACCTCCACTTACCAAATGTAGCAAACTTGAAGATCTAGTGATGGAGAGAGGTGGCAGACCCGTGAGGAGCATAATTCTGACGAGTTGGCGAAGCGGCAGCACTTTTCTCGGCGACGTGGTGAATGCGCATCCGGCCAATTTTTATCATTACGAACCGTTGCTGGATTATGGGATTGTGCAAATCAGAGAGCCGCCGCTCGCCGACGAATCCTTGACAAGGATTGTCTCTCTCCTGAACTGTGAATACAAAGAGCTCGGTAATTTTATACTCTATGAGTTTGAAATCACATAGCTTAACGATCAATTATTTACAATCCTATTATTGCAGATCGGTATCTAAATTATGGAAAAACTCATCCTTGGGTATTCAATCACAATACGCACCTGTGGCGGCAGTGTCAGGCTCACAAACGCATCTGCTGGGATTCGCGTTTCGTTGCCAAGTTTTGCCGGCTCTTCCCATTTCAATCGATGAAGCTTGTGCGATTGAGGTTGCGTGTAGCAGAGAAGCTTCTGGCTGAAGAAGAGTAAGAATATGATTAGCTTTTAAATATCTAAAGAATGTTTTATACTGTAAAAACGTAATAACAAATATTTATTTATTATAGTTTAGGTGTGCGATTAGTTCTACTAATCCGCGATCCGAGAGGTATCTTGCAATCTAGAAAACACAGGGAATGGTGTCCCGCCAAACCAGATTGTTCCGATCCGGCTCTGGTTTGCGCCGATATGGTGTCAGATTTTAACACAGCGATAGAACTCTCGAAAAAATACCCACATTCTTTCAGGTATAAATACATTGCTTTTTTAAATTATACATATTTCATATTTATCTATAAATTGATTTCATTCGCGCCAAATGATCTTTAATTGGCTTAAATCGGATGTCGTGTTAATTAATCTAATAATGTCAATATAATTTGCGAGAGATCTCTAAAAGCTCAATCTTTGTCTATAAATAGAGTGGTGCGCTACGAGGATCTTTCCGTGGATCCCTACAGACACGTGAAGGAGCTTTACAACTTTTACGGTTTGAACTTTCATCCGAACGTGAAGAGGTTCTTAGACACGCACACGAAGAACGATGTGGGCGGTGTATCGAGTACCTTCCGGAATTCCAAGGTCGCGCCGTTTCACTGGCGGGCCGATCTGGACTTCGAAGAGGTACACATGATACAGAGGGTCTGCGGGACCGCCATGCGACTGTGGGGATACGTGATGGCCTTAAATTCTACTCACCAAAAAGACTTTGATCCTATCACAAATTACCAGTTGTGACAGCTGGCAGACGACATGCTCAATGTAGATATGATGTATAGCGTATCGGTATAGCGAACGGCAATGGTCATGTAAGTGCCGTGGTTCATATAAATATTCAGCGAAAGGTGCTAATGGTCACTCAGGAAGACATAACAAGGCGAATGGATGTCGATTTATTCGTGAGAGTAACTTACTCGAGTCTTAAACTTCGTGAAACCAATAAAGATGTTTCTGTAAAGAGACAGAGAAGAAACGAGATATATTCTCGAATTATGAAACAAAGATTAGGGTAAATTTTCGAGAGCCTGGTGTGCAACAAAAATATGTAATGTCTAACCATATCGACGCGAACGTTGCAGATGTATTCAAAATGTTTTTAAATATACCGCGAATCTTTCGAGAAAGTACTTTGTGTCTAAAAAATATATACAAACTTTACTTTTTTTAATTTATTGAGTCTGTAAAAAGATATTCTTAGTGATCGAACTATTATATTGTCTTTTTACATCTTTAATTTTCTGTGTAAAGGGAAATGAGATTTTTATAGCAATGATACAAGACACAAAATGCATATCTTTCTGTCTCCCAACAAGTGTATTATTAAATTATGTAAAAAAAAATTCAATTTTATTGATCAATCACACATGATATTACTCAACTGAAATTGAAAGTATACTACTGGCATTTATATACGAAACTTAAACAAAGAATATTTATTTAATAATGAACCATGTTGATTGCGCGAAGGCGAGATCATAATCAATTATTTAATGAATACACTGAACGGAAGTTAAATCATATAACTGATTAAGTCTTGCAACATTAGGAATCATCGGCAACGTTGCTAGAATCTATATCTATGGCTATCTGAAAAAAAAAAATGTTCACCGACGACACGTTAATGTGATTCATTAAAGAGGAGTACGATCGCGCGCAATATCAATTAAGTCGTTTATGTCTTATGTCAACGGAACGTTCGAAGTTATCTCTTGATCGCGTGGCAATCGCGATGTTCAGAAAAGCTGGCTACGTTAAGCAGTGCATGTCAAGGACCAGAAGAATGAGTTTCCATTTCACCGGCCTTCGGCACGGCCGGCGACAAATTATTAAAGGTATACAGACGCGACCAACTCGCCCGCGAGCGCGTATGATTTTTATAATGTACGACATAGAGTCGTATAGCACTGCGCACTTTATAGATACAAGATAGAAATCTTGCGAACTGTTTGTTGGCGACTTAGTGTAAGAATACTTTTTTGAATCTTTACACACCAGCAATTGATTATATCCCCGGACGGGTACACACCTTAGTTATGTATTGTATATACTATATATTCTAGTGCAATTATGTTACAAAAAATATATAGTGTTTCTCGCGTCCTTGCGTTATGCACCGAGCGCTAGATCAGTCTGCTCTCTGTGTGATCAAGTTTTATCATGCATTCACTTAAAGTAGAATTAGTTTGTCTCGCTAAGTATTTTACATTATTAATATTATTATACATAATCGAATTCGGATATTGAGGAACTTAATGCTTTTCTCTCCTCTTTGTTTTATATAAAAAGTCGATTTTACTATATCAGGACTTTACTTTTTATTGTTATTATTTTTGTTTTAATTATAAAACAAATTGAATAAAATGTGACGTTTCTCGTACATATGGATAAAATCTTGCAGTAACGTTTTATCAGGATCGCTAATATAAATTCGCAATAACATCTTCGTGCGATCATGTTATTACGTTTTCACGGAATGGATATCTAGTCCAAGAGGAACGCGTATTACTTCGCATTTTGTACCTTAGATATAATATGAGGTTTCAATAAAAGAATCTTATTTCTATGGAATATTGCGTTTGTTTATTATTTTTCGATAACATGTGTTATTTGCTATACATGTTATTTTTCCTATTTTGTTTCAAGAAAAAAAAACTTTTAATAAATAATACGCACAAATTGAAACTTGAATCTTGTATCTGTTGTTTCAATGAAATATTTAGTTATCACTATATATCATAGCGTATATCATGAAAAACATTACAAAAAAATTAATATCTAAAATATATTTTGTAACTTTATGAATCGAAGTAATTTGCATTTACACCTTGCATATAATTTTATTAATTAAAAATATTAATAAAAAAATGTTATATAGTGTAATGTTAATGTGTCACTATAAATGTTAATCAACTATTACCTTTGCATTAGAAATGTTCCATTTATTAAAATATTATTTAATTATGCATCTGTAACAAAAACAATCTCCTTTTAACCGTTATATATAAAAAAAAAAGATGAAATCTTTATTTAATAGCAAAATCAGCGAGGGCAAGTTCCAATCAGATAAATCAGAATAGCGTATAGTTTATACATCATGATCTACTATTTTACATGGTTCAAATATTTATTCTCGTATAATTAAATTTATTTTAACTTAATTACCTTCAATGTTTATGTAGTTCATATATGAGCCTTCTTGAATCTCTTTCTCTGAGTTGTTCTTGTAAAACTGAAATTAAATATAAAATATTTATTATATATAACACTTATACAGCGTCAAAAATTAATTTATAATATTCAATTATCAGATTAAAAGTTTAGCAGCAAAAACATTCAGACATATGCTTGTCAAATTTATAATCATCACATCAGAAAAATAAACAAAAATAAGAAAGCAATAAAGACAAAAAGGGGCAATTCTTACTTTATCAGAAAATTTCAATGTAAAGCATTCATGATTGTAATGTATATTAATATTTTTCACATCTGTTCTCGCAGCTTACATATTTCTTGCGTCCTGAAAAGAATTTATTACCATCAATTTTCAAAGTTATTGTAATATTGTCATAATTAGTAATATATTTTTTATTATATCAGAAAATCTCTATCACCATGTTTATGTAAGACAGGGATAACTTAAATAATTCATCATGTTTTAATTACTCAGAAAATCAAATATAATATTATTTTTCCTATTTTGTTTCAAGAAAAAAAAACTTTTAATAAATAATACGCACAAATTGAAACTTGAATCTTGTATCTATTGTTTCAATGAAATATCTAGTTATCACTATGTATCATAGCGTATATCATGAAAAACATTACAAAAAAATTAATAAATATCTAAAATATATTTTGTAACTTTATGAATCAAAGTAATTTGGATTTACACCTTGCATATAATTTTATTAATTAAAAATATTAATAAAAAAATGTTATATAGTGTAATGTTAATGTGTCACTATAAATGTTAATCAACTATTACCTTTGCATTAGAAATGTTCCATTTATTAAAATATTATTTAATTATGCATCTGTAACAAAAACAATCTCCTTTTAACCGTTATATAAAAAAAAAAAAGATGAAATCTTTATTTAATAGCAAAATCAGCGAGGGCAAGTTCCAATCAGATAAATCAGAATAGCGTATAGTTTATACATCATGATCTACAATTTTACATGGTTCAAATATTTATTCTCGTGTAATTAAATTTATTTTAACTTAATTACCTTCAATGTTTATGTAGTTCATATATGAGCCTTCTTGAATCTCTTTCTCTGAGTTGTTCTTGTAAAACTGAAATTAAATATAAAATACTTATTATATATAACACTTATACAGCATCAAAAATTAATTTATAATATTCAATTATCAGATTAAAAGTTTAGCAGCAAAAACATTCAGACATATGCTTGTCAAATTTATAATCATCACATCAGAAAAATAAACAAAAATAAGAAAGCAATAAAGACAAAAAGGGGCAATTCTTACTTTATCAGAAAATTTCAATGTAAAGCATTCATGATTGTAATGTATATTAATATTTTTCACATCTGTTCTCGCAGCTTACATATTTCTTGCATCCTGAAAAGAATTTATTACCATCAATTTTCAAAGTTATTGTAATATTGTCATAATTAGTAATATATTTTTTATTATATCAGAAAATCTCTATCACCATGTTTATGTAAGACAGGGATAACTTAAATAATTCATCATGTTTTAATTACTCAGAAAATCAAATATAATATTATTTTTCCTATTAATGTAATTTTAAGTAGCTTACGTAATTGTGAGATCCAAATACAGGGTTTGAAAGTAATGCGTCGCATTTTTTAAAAAAGAATTTATTGATCGCATAGGTAAAACAACTTAAAATTGTTCGAAGTATGACCCTTCTGCGTCAATACATTTTTGCCAACGCGATTTCCATGCGTCATAAGATTTCTGGAACTCCTTGACTGGGATGCTGTTCAGGGAGGCCGTCGAAGTAGCTTGTACGTTGTCAACCGACTCGAGCTGTTGTCCTTTGAGCTCCCTTTTCAGCCGAGGAAATAAAAAAAAGTCCGCAAGATAACGTTGTTCAGGAAATTGGGATTATCTGCACAGAGTTGCTTGAGTTCTTCACAAACTTCCACTCGGTGTTGCTTTTGCGCATCGGTCAACACTCTGGGCACAAGTTTTGCGCAAATCTTCCGCATGGCCAAGTCTTCCGATACAATCTCGTGAACAATCGTTTTCGGCAAGTTCAATAATTCCGACATTAAGCGAACATTCATTCGACGGTCTGAATTCAATAATTGGCGCACACGAGTCACATTGTCGTCCGTTCGCGATGTTGACGGGCGTCCTGCGCGGGCCTCGTCGGCGACCTCCTTCCGACCTTCTCTAAACATCTTGTGCCATCTGTTTGACTGCGATTTGGAAAGGCAATCGTCCCCGAAAACTTTCTTGAGCATTTCAAAAGTTTCCAGCGGCGTCTTGTCCAGCTTCACGCAAAACTTTATCGCATAGCGTTGCTCTATCGTTCTCTCCATCACAAGTTCGACGCGACCACTAAGCAGAGGTTCACAGAATAAGCCGTCCTAACCCTCCAAGCGCATGGAAACAATTGAGCGACCTACCGTTGGAAAGCTAAGGGTACCCCCCTTCCTCCCCAACCGGTCCCATCGCTCTGCGATGTATAGTCGCGTCACAAAAAATGCGACGCATTACTTTCCGGACAAACCCTGTAGTTCAACAGTAAATTATAGATATATGATCACTATGATATGAATGTGCATGTGTCTGAGCTTGTGCCATTCTCACTGCATACATTCTTGTTTATTAGTTGGATATTATATTTCATTTCATGGTTAAAACTCGCCCTCATCCATTTTCCAAATCGACATCTGGAAAAAAAAACTGATGTTATTAACAATAATCAATATGTATCATATTGTCACATTTATATATTTTTAAAATTAAACTCAAACCTCTCAGATACAACATTCGTCACTTGAATTCAGATTGACTAGAGGCGGTTTGTTGTATTCATCATATATATATAAAAAAAGGACAAATAATACTTGTGTGAAAGAATTCTAAATTTAAAGTGGGGAAATATATAACATAAATTATAACTTACAATTCCTATTTTGAAAAAGATTCTTGTTATTTGTCTCTTTCTCCATCTCCATCTATATAAATGAAATATAATATATTAAGATATGTTTTATAATAAATTAATAAAAAAAAAAAAAAAAAAAATAAAGTAAAAAAATTTTCAGAAATCTGATTCAGTCATAGCTCTCAGACTGGGGCAGTCAAGTTACATCACGAAATTAATATTTATTTTATCTCAAAAGAATGTGTAAACTAAATATTAAATATAAATTTAAGTTCACAAGTGAAAAAAGTTATTCTACCATGTGCTTCTCTTTTATACAAAGAACCTTATTTTTTAATAAATTCATCTATCCAGCAATGTAAACAAATTTTTTTATTTATTACAAAGATAGTAATGGTCTTTTTCCATTTATATTATCATACTTGACCAAGCAGAAATATTTGATAAATGAATAATTTTATAAAGTGAAATATTTGTAATATTTCACTTTCTGCAAGTATTGATCAACAAGCAGATCGCAATGATTTAAATGCAATTCAAATGAGAATAATAATTAAATAAGCACATAAAATATATTTGTAAGATATAAATTTCAATTATATTCCTCCAATAAGAAACCAAATAGTACTCACTAAAAGCATGATAAGAGCTACTTATAGCAGGTGCTCTTCGACGCTTGAAGCGATAGCGAGGAGGCTCTATAAATCCAGCATTAGGAGAAACAAGAACAGAGAAGAATCTTGTTATTTGTCTCTTTCTCCATCTCGATCTATATAAATAAAATATAATATATTAAGATTTATTTTATAATAAATCAATAAAAATATGAAATAAAAAAAATTTTCAGAAAACTGATTCAGCATAGCTCTCAGACTGGGGCAGTCAAATTACATCATGAAATTAATATTTATTTTATCTCAAAAGAATGTGTAAGCTAAATATTAAATATAAATTTACGTTCACAAGTGAAAACGTTATTCTACCATGTGCTTCTCCGTTACACAAAAAATCTCATTTTTTAAACAAATCCATCTATCCAGCAATGTAAAAAATGTTTATTTATTATAAAGATGTAATGGTCTTTCTCTTTCATTTATATTATTATACTTGACCAAGCTGTAATATTTAATAAATGAATAATTTTATAAAGTGAAATATTTGTAATATTCTGCAAGTGTTGATCAGCAAGTGGATTGCAATGATTTAAATGCAATTTAAATGAGAATAAAAATTAAATAAGGCGCATAAAATATATTCGCAAGATATAAATCTCAATTATATTCCTTAAATAAGAAACCAAATAGTACTCACTAAAAGCATGATAAGAGCTACTTATAGCAGGTGCTCTTCGACGCTTGAAGCGATAGCGAGGAGGCTCTATAAATCCAGCATTAAGAGAAACAAGAACAGAGAAGAATCTTGTTATTTGTCTCTTTCTCCATCTCGATCTATATAAATAAAATATAATATATTAAGATTTATTTTATAATAAATCAATAAAAATATGAAATAAAAAAAATTTTCAGAAAACTGATTCAGCATAGCTCTCAGACTGGGGCAGTCAAATTACATCATGAAATTAATATTTATTTTATCTCAAAAGAATGTGTAAGCTAAATATAAAATATAAATTTACGTTCACAAGTGAAAACGTTATTCTACCATGTGCTTCTCCGTTACACAGAAAATCTCATTTTTTAAACAAATCCATCTATTCAGCAATATAAAAAATGTTTATTTATTATAAAGATGTAATGGTCTTTCTCTTTCATTTATATTATTATACTTGACCAAGCTGTAATATTTAATAAATGAATAATTTTATAAAGTGAAATATTTGTAATATTCTGCAAGTGTTGATCAGCAAGTGGATTGCAATGATTTAAATGCAATTTAAATGAGAATAAAAATTAAATAAGGCACAAAATATATTCGCAAGATATAAATCTCAATTATATTCCTTAAATAAGAAACCAAATGTAGTACTCACTAAAAGCATGATAAGAGCTACTTATAGCAGGTGCTCTTCGACGCTTGAAGCGATAGCGAGGAGGCTCTATAAATCCAGCATTAGGAGAAACAAGAACAGAGAAGAATCTTGTTATTTGTCTCTTTCTCCATCTCGATCTATATAAATAAAATATAATATATTAAGATTTATTTTATAATAAATCAATAAAAATATGAAATAAAAAAAATTTTCAGAAAACTGATTCAGTCATAGCTCTCAGACTGGGGCAGTCAAATTACATCATGAAATTAATATTTATTTTATCTCAAAAGAATGTGTAAGCTAAATATTAAATATAAATTTACGTTCACAAGTGAAAACGTTATTCTACCATGTGCTTCTTCGTTACGCAAAGAATCTCATTTTTTAAATAAATCCATCTATCCAGCAATGTAAAAAATGTGAAATATTTGTAATATTCTGCAAGTGTTGATCAGCAAGTGGATTGCAATGATTTAAATGCAATTTAAATGAGAATAAAAATTAAATAAGAAGGCGCATAAAATATATTCGCAAGATATAAATCTCAATTATATTCCTTAAATAAGAAACCAATAGTACTCACTAAAATTGTGATAAGAGCTACTTATAGCAGGTGCTCTTCGACGCTTGAAGCGATAGCGAGGAGGCTCTATAAATCCAGCACTAAAAGAGAAACGAGAACTAAATCTCAAAACACAACATGCGGCGACGAGTCGCCTGAAGAAGAGAATAATCAGAAACACGTAGAGGTATAATCAAGAGACGATCATACGAACGAGACAAACATGTCATCATTTTCGGGAAATAAACGTGATCAAAAGCTCTGCGTTAAAATATAATCGGAAAATACAATCAAAAATATTATAATCAAGAAGAATCGTGCGCAAGAAGCTCGTTTCGAGATGTTTAAGCAGAGGATGACGATGGATTTCGAAAACGTGAATCTTGATCTTACCTTTTCGGAGAACATCCGTCTCTCCTGAAGTTGGATCATAAATGAACGAGTCTCAACGAGTTCGAGAAAAACGACGGTTGTGGAGGGAAATTTTCGCGCATGCGCGGGAACCTTATAGCGGATTTGAATGAAATTTTTACAAGTGTGTTCGTAAATTTACTTGTCAAACTGGAGCAAACTTCGATCGACCAATTACCGAACAAACGAATCTTCTGCGCTTTGATTGGTCGATCGACGAGGAGAGATTTGTAAGTAAAAACGCAATTTTTTGCCACGTAAAGAAAATTAATATTTTTAATTTTAGATATTATTATTAAAAATTAATTTAGCAGTCTCGAGATCTTGTAAATTCACGAAAAAAAATGTGGCGTTCTCAGCCCTGCTGTGACATTTTTACGTCATTTGACGTAGCCTAATCTATCCTAACCCAACCTTGCGTTACCATTTGCAGTATTTGCACCATTTGTCATCCGTGTATGGAAGAGGCCGAGAGCTCTTGTCGCGATAATTCGTATTCGCAATGCAAGTGGGATAATGTTATCGTCAGCGGTATTTTGAAGGATCAATTTGCAAACGGGAATTTCCGCAATTTTCAGTTTTATGTCAACGCGATGAAGTGTCATTCTGTGCCGAGGATTCTACGTGGTGTACGATAAAAATGTCTCTGCCCATCTGAGCGATAAGATTTCAATTTTCTCGAGTGCGTATGCATCTTCCATTAATAATTTTATCGCTTTTTTTCCCTGTCACCGCGTTTGACCTTAATTTACACGCGTTGCGCCTTAATTAATTTAATAACTAATTTAAAATTGCTCAATTTTTGTGCAATGATAGATTTGATCTGATTACATTTTGCAGGAGGAGAGTGAGTGACACATTTTAGAGCAACCTGTGTATATGTGTGTCTACTTAAAACAATGATGGAGTTGAGTCATAGTCTGACCCTCAACGAGGATGCGCTTAATCAAATCCCGGAGGCTAAGCGGCCGGTCTTTATTTTCGAGTGGTTGCGCTTCCTGGATAAAGTTCTGGTTGCCGCTCAAAAGGTATCTATGTAAAAGTTTGACATTTGTGTCATTACAAAATCTGCATGACTAGAAGAGATAAAAGTTCTACTTACGATGATAAAGTTGTAATTACAATTATAAAAATATTATTTGCACAGAATGATATTAAAGGATGTCAGCAAAAGTTGGTGGAACAGTTGACCAGACATATGCAAGGAGCTCCTGGTCCACCTACACGACGTCTCATAGCTAGATGTCTTGCTACTCTATTCAGTGTCGGCGATACATTCTTGCTTTTTGACACTGTCAATAAATGCAATGACATCTTGAGAAATAAAGATGATTCACCAAGCTTCTTACCCACAAAATTGTAATTTGTTATTAATCGATTTTATTAATGTTTTATATTCTGTGATGAAATAATTTTGCTATATGTATTGCTATATTTATGCTATATGAGAGATATTTATATATTTTTTCAGAGCTGCTATTTGCTGTGTGGGATGCATGTATGAAAAATTGGGAAGAATGATGGGCAGATCATATGAGGAAACTGTACAGATCCTAATAAAGTCTTTGCGTTCTGCTGAGTCTCAAATGCGGATAGAGATTATGCATACTTTAGAAAAGGTAAAAAATAATTTTACGAACAATTTCTCAAACTTTAAATAAAATATCTATAATATATTTTATATTTGTACTACAATTAGGTGTGTGCTGGGATGGGATCAGCAATAACCAATGTGCATAAGGAAATATACAAAGTTTCCAGGCATTACCTAACCGACAGAGTGATGGCAGTGAGATGTGCTGCTGCTAAGGTATTTTTTTTTTTTTTAATATTGATTATATATTTTCTGATTATCTATAATTATAATCACTTTTTATATGTGTCTAGTGCTTGTTGGAAATGTTGAATCACGCTCCATTTTTATATACGACTGAGATTGAAAGTGTTGCGACATTATGCTTTCGTGCGTTTGAAGGCTCGAATTATGAAGTGAGATGCTCTGTAGCTAAATTATTGGGCACCTTGGTGGCAATGACGCAGCTTCCTTCACCCAAGATGAAAAATCTTACAGGTACATAAGTTATAAAAATATATGTTCAGGATTATATATTTCTTCTAATATATGTATTATTCATACTTTGACAGTTACGCACAATAAAGGTGTTAGACAGACATCGCTTGAAGAAGTGTTGAACATCTTGATGTCTGGATTTTTGAGAGGCGGCGTTGGCTTCCTAAAAGGAACGGGCGAGATAATAAAAGGAAGTTCTAGCATAAATAGAGAAGTGCGAGTCGGAGTGACACATGTAAGTAGTTATGTTTAAATAATTTCTTTTTTTTATAGAATCTGTCAGAGACATTTAACGCTTATATATTCGCAGGCATACGTGGTGTTTGTTCAAATGCTAGGTGGCACTTGGCTGGAACGCAATATCGGCGCGCTAATCGCACACGTTTTAGACCTGGTTACAAATCCGAAAGCCGCTAGTTCGCACGTCGAGGCGGTATATTCGCGCAAATGCGTCAATTTTATATTACGCGGTACTGTCGGCAAACTGTTGGGAGAAGGCGCTCAGGCTGCCGCTTGCAAGGAGATAGCTCATATTATTCTGAAGCAGATGAATTCTATCGGTAATAATAATAACACTAATGTTTTACGCGATAATAAAATTGCATATAATTTAAATAAACGTGGCTTTGCAGATTTCAGTCCGGAAAACGCCAAGGACTGCAATCAGGAGACATTATTCAGCCAGCATTTGTTAGTGTGTGCATTACAAGAAATGGGCTGTCTAATACTGGGATTAGGCACTACAGCCACGAATTTATTATCCGATCAGTCACTAAGTATGTATTTGCAACATGTATCTGAAACATCTTTCTTTGTTTCTTCGACATGAGAGTGAGACCTCCCTGAACGAGAAGCAGTTTTAATTATAATTTAATGTGTTGCTTGTTAGATCTGATCGATACTATAATGGCTGTCCTGGTACATCCGTGTCAAGCCGCTAGACTGGCAGCATCTTGGTGTTTACGGTGCATTTGCGTCGCAGTACCGAGTCAAATAACGCCGTTGATCGACCGTTGCGTCGACGGAATCGAGAATATGCGAAGCTCACCAGAAGCTATAGCCGGTTATAGCAGCGCTCTCGCTGCGGTGCTGGGAAGCGTTCGTCTGTCACCCTTGGGTGTCCCACATACTAAGGGAAAGGTACAAGAGTTCTAATTACTTATTATCGATCGTAGCTATATATAATGCGAGATTAATTTACTCCCTGTGATTTACGCTAGATAATTTTCAATACGGCGGAAGAACTACTGAGGAGCGCCAGTCAAAACAGTCGTTTATCTTTAAATCGTACGCACGCAGGATGGCTCTTGATAGGAGCGATAATGACTCTAGGTAATACAAAAGGAATCTTATGTTAAGAATAAAAAATATGTATGTAATATGTGCAAGCTGTACATATAATTTATAATCGAATATACAGGTACGGCAGTAGTGAAGGGCCTACTGCCGAGAATGTTACTTCTATGGAGAAATTCCTTCCCACGCTCGAACAAGGAACTCGAAAGCGAGAAAGCACGCGGTGACGCCTTCACATGGCAGGTGACTCTGGAAGGACGTGCTGGCGCGCTGTCCGCCATGTACAGCTTTCTATTACATTGCCCTGAGCTTTTAAATGATGATATCACACGGCGATTACTCACGCCGATCGAGTCCGCTTTGGCAATGCTGACAAAGTACGAATATTAATATTTTTTAAGTATAACACACAAGAGACAGGAAAATATTTAGAATAAAGAAATTCTGCATACTTTCTTTCAGTTTGTCACCCGTTTTGAAGAATTACGGCCAACAACTGAAAGCTCCCGCTGCTATGGTTCGTTTACGCTTATACGAAACGTTGTTGCTGCTACCGCCGCAAACGTTCGAAGGTAAAATTAATGCTCTGTATGAAATTTGAGATAAATTTGCATTAGTCTTCAATCTTTTTTAATTTATCTATTACTATCTAATATTGTAATCATGATTTAGGTTCTTACACACATCTTCTAAGGATGCTCGTGTCAGAGTTTACGCTTACGGACAACCCTGGAAATACGACTACTTCTTTATTGCGTGTAGTTTGTCATGCTAACGATTCTGTGATCCTTGGTACATGGCTACAGGAGACTGATCATCGTACAATAGAAGATCAAGTGAGTGCATCTTAATAATTCACATCGAAGAATAAATTCTACTGTCCTAACATTTTGTGTTTGCTTTATTGAGTGCATTGCTTTCTTAATTCAGATTTAGTACTCTTTGAGAACTGCAAAGTCATTTTGAAGGTATTGCATTAATTACAACTTTTTTTACATTCTAACATTTACTAACAGAGAATTTGCAATTAACAAAGAAAATGTAGGAAATATTTATGTGTCGTGTGTACATGTATTTAATTCAAATTTTTTTCACTGACGTTTACATTTTATATCACATATAGTCAATTTCAGATACAAAGAATAAACAAAAATTCTTGCAAATTAAGCTTTTATGGAATATAATTTTTGGCATTAACTTGTAAATACATTCGTTCGTGTTTAGATGGAACCAAACAGAAGGGCAGATTTGGAACATGTGAGTAAGGTGTTCTGCAAAGTGTGCCTTTCGTTTCAGTTATAATGTAATAATGTTGTTTTCTCTATTTTATCGAGAATTTATATCTATATAAAGCTATGTGTGCCAGAATTAATTAATCTATTATTTACAGTCCATTTTTCATATTATATTTGTTTTTATCACTGATTTGTATATTAACTTAATAACTGTATAATAATAACATTTTATTTTATATATTTTACTTTACTTATTTAGACTAAGCTATATTCATTTTAGTAACAGATGCATATTTACTAATATTATTTATTGTATATTTCTTTAGGTTACAAGATACAGCCTCAATTTTTATTACAATTATACTTTAAATTTAGAATACTTTATTACAATCTATACTCTTTTTTCAGCTTCAACCAAATAGTGCTGCAGGATCCGGGGCATTGGAGCACAATACATGCTGTCTTTATAGACCAATGCCACGTGTGAGTTTAAATAAATATTTTGCATAATATGAATAAATTTAAATTTATCCTGCTATCAATTACAAATATAAATGAAAAAATTGTATAATACAAATTTATGATATATGATTTTACTTACAGATTGAAATAATACCTGGTCCTTTACCATTGGGTGTAGCAGTGATTGATTTATCGGTTGCGTTATTTGGCCAGATATTCCCGCGCGTAGCAAACAAGCATAGACTGCAGATGTTGGATCATTTCAGCGAGTGCATAAAACACACCAAATCCGGAAGACAGGAAGCGATACAGATGAACGTGTTCACTGCTGTGTTGAGCGGCTTGAAAGGCCTCAACGAAGCAAAAACGGGCTTTGGACAAGAGGACGTCAAGAAATCCGCCACTAATCTTATCATTGTAAGGCAATGTTATCATTACATGAAATAATGATTCATTTTATTGATTAATTATGAAATTTTACAATGTGCTCTTTGCAATGTTTTAGAGCACACTAGTCAGTGGCAATCCTATTTTACGATGGGCGGCGGGAGAGGCAGTCGGCAGAATGGCTCAAGTAATTTCCGATCCCAAGTTTACCGCTGAATTGGCGCAGACCAGTTTCGATCGTCTGAAATCAGCCCGTGACGTCGCCAGCAGAACCGGCCATTCGTTGGCGTTAGGTTGTCTCCACAAGTATGTCGGCGGTATGGGTTCCAGTCAGCATCTTAACACTAGCGTCAGCATCTTGCTCGCACTTGCTCAGGATAACTCGTCTCCTGTAGTACAAGTAAGATGTCATCCTGCATATTATTGTTTAAATCTTTCTTACTTTGGAAGATAATAATAAAGTAAACTTTCCTCCCTCTAGGTTTGGGCATTGCACGCTCTAGCTCTGATAGCTGATTCTGGTGGACCAATGTTCAGGGGCTATGTGGAACCTACACTGTCCTTGGCACTGACCCTTCTTCTCAATGTTCCTCACTCTTACATCGATGTACATCAGTGCATCGGAAAAGTTTTATCAGCACTTATCACTACGATAGGACCCGAATTACAAGGTAGATATTGTGTTTAATATATTTAACTGTTATTATTTATAAGCAATTATATGTATGATTATATGCAAAGTAAAATTGCGAAAAACAAATGGCCCTGAGGGCTCTGAAGAAAATTTTATTTAACTGAGCAATCGATTTTAACAGGTAATACATCAACGATTTGCATGGCACGGTCGTCATTTTTGTGCGCGTGTGCCATCATGCAGGATCATCAGGATCCGCTCGTTCAAGCCGAGGCAACTGGCTGCCTTCAACAGTTGCATCTCTTCGCACCCAGACATGTTAATCTGTCTTCCCTCGTTCCCACATTATGCGTAAGGCTTTTTTAAATATTCAAAAATGTTTTTATCGTGAAATGTACCTATTACAGATGTTTTTTTCTGTTTCTAGCGTACTCTATCGAGTAATCATTTACTTTTGCGTAAAGCTGCAATATCGTGCCTTCGACAGCTCGCTCAACGCGAAGCGAAGGAAGTGTGCGAGCACGCGATGACGTTGGCCAACGAAAGCAGAGACACCAACGTGGTGGAGGGTCTCGTCATCACTGAGACCGGATTACCAGGCGTGCTGTTTAGTATGCTGGATACAGAAACTGACAGTAAACTGATCAAAGACATACATGACACTTTGACGAGCATGTTACAGATATTAGCGGCCGACAATCTGTCTCAGTGGTTGTCGTTATGCAAAGACGTTCTCACGATAGCTTCAGGTAATTCAAGTCAAGTTCCTTCGATTCGATTATTGATGAAACATTTTTCTCATAAGATATCTTGTTATGTAGAATCAAGTACAATCGAGGAAGGTAACGCGGCGAATGCGGATGACAGCACCACTGACAATGAGTCAGCCGACGCGGAGGGTGACGATGATCAGGCTGAATTTCACGCCGACGAATCCACCAAGCAACGGCCGTCCATCACGCCGAGGTGGCCGACCAGAGTCTTCGCGGCGCAATGCGTCAGACGCATCGTCGCGGCCTGCGTGAACAATAAACAGGCGCATTTCGATCTCGCTTTGGCGAAAGAGATGCAACTGTCTAAGGGAAAAGGTGTTTGACGAGTTTCATACATTGCTGTCTTTTTAGAAATTTTTCTTAATTTTTACATTTATTTTACGAAATATTTTTCAGGAGATTTTCTGGTGCTACACCTGTCAGATCTGGTGCGCATGGCGTTTATGGCTGCGACAAGCGATTGCGATCCGTTGCGGCTCGAAGGTCTGAAAACTCTGCAAGAAATCATTGATAAATTCGCTAAAGTTCCCGAACCGGAGTTTCCCGGGCATTTATTGCTGGAGCAGTTCCAGGCACAGGTGATTTTCTAATTCATTCATCAACGTGTTTTTGAAACTGCGTTTAACTATTATTATATGAGATATGAATTTGAAGGTTGGAGCTGCTTTAAGACCAGCGTTTTCCGCGGAAACACCGTCGCATGTTACTGCCGCGGCCTGTGAGGCTTGCAGCGCATGGATCGGCAGCGGCGTCGCCAGGGATCTCAATGATCTGCGAAGAGTCCATCAGTTGCTCGTGTCGTCCCTGGAGAAATTGCGGGAGGGTAATACTCGACCGCAACTTTATAACGAGAGCTTGTCGACATTGGAGAGATTGGCAATTTTAAAAGCGTGGGCTGAGGTATACATCAAATTATAATTACGCGTTTAAAATAAAGATTTATGATATAAATAAAGATCAAATATATTTGAAAAACTGTGAAAAAGAGATTTGATTGTGGTTTTTATTTTGTTAACAGGTGTACGTAGTCGCGATGATACGGGACGGATCCGCGCTAAACAGCAAAGATACAGCTAATCGAAACGCAAATCAACCCGACGAAGGAAACAATGAGGAAGACTTTGGGGAATTCGAGTTTCAGAGCGAAAGTCTACTGAGCCTTGTCCAACCGGAGCTTCTGAGTCTGAGTCAACATTGGCTATCCGCACTGCGGGATCATGCCTTGTTGTCTTTGCCGCCAGGTAAGATATTAATATTAATGCATTTTTTTATATTTTTTGGATCATTATTTCGACAATTGAAACAATTTTTTATATTCACTTAGAATTCTCCAGTCAATTGCCGCATGATGGTGGTGCCTTTTACACGACGGACACTATGGAATCCGCGCGTCCTCATTATGTAGAATCATGGGCGCCAATTCTTCATGCTGCAACTCTCTGGCTCAATGCGAGGGGATTCGAAATGGATAATAATAATCAAGAGAAAACTGCAAATGCCACCAATAATAACAATCATAACAATAATAACAATAACGATGAGGCCGCTGCTGCCTCTAAAACTAATATGAATGTTGGACGCTTTCACTTGTTATTTGGTAAATATATAATATATATAATACATTATAATGCTTACATTAAAATTTGTTTTATATGATTTTAACAAGAGCGAAATGACGCTTATTATTGTAATTGTTATTTTCAGGTATATGTATGGAAGCTTTGTGCAGTCCTCGCTCTTCTGAATCTCCACAAAATATAGAGACGTGCTTAAATGCTTTATACACGCTGCTCGATTCAACGTGGGCGCGTAAGGTCTTTATCGCGGACTGTTCCTTACCCATTGAATTATGCAACGTTCTTCATAGGTATGTGTACATATGCAAGTGTATAATAAGCTGCTTTTTTATGATATTAATACTGATATATTTATTTCAAAGGTTGCTCTTAACGCGAGAGAGTTACGTCATCCAAATGATAGTAATGGAGGTGTTGAAACAAGTGATGAAAGCGGCACAGGAAGATTTGGCTGCAAGGAAAAAATTGAAGCTCCGAGGTATGTAAAATTTCTGAAATTGTTTTCTACAAGTATATACATATGTATGTAAAACGTGAAATTGTACTTTTTGTATATATATCTTCTTTTTTTATAATATAGATGCCACATCAGCAAATGAAGAAAACAACGAAATGTCGGAAGTGGATTTGCTGGGCGAAGGAAAGGAAAGCGGCGAACTTGTACCGGGCAAATCGTTAGTATTTGCCACCCTGGAAGTGTGCCTGTGTCTTTTGGTACGACAGATACCGGCGTTAAATCCGAATCCGGGTGGTGCCACTGCTATCCTGTCTCAAAAAGGATACATACCTTCTGAGGAGAGCGGCAAACTCATCTCGTTGTCCCTCAATATAATAGAATCTCTTCCCACTTTATGTTCTCCGCAAGGTATTCTCTCTATTTTAATAGGCAATTTTTTTCTATATACACGTAATTCATCTTACATCTTCTGCAGGCGCAATAGCAATTCTCCCGACACTGCTGTACTTGGCGACTGGTGTAATACGAGAAACCGCAGTGCGCACAGATAACGAGAACACCAAACTCGGTGCGGAGGCACCAGTTCACGCCGCGTTGCACTGCGTCAAGAGTCTTATCACTAACAAGTATGCCCGAGATCACAGAAGTCAGGAGCAATGGACCGGATTACTGCGAAGCGCACTTGCCAAGATTATCGATCTGGCCAAGACAGGCACGTCTCATAATTCTATCCTTTATTAGAGGAACAGTATAAACACAGATCTTATTTATAAAATATTAGGAGTCGAAAAGAAATATCTATACAGTATTCTTTGTATCAAAATATAAGATCTATATATTATAATCTAATTGAAGATTAATGTATATCATATTCTTAATTTTATTTATGTAGGCAATGATGAAACAAAGATGGACGAGGTAGCCATGATGCTGGGTATCGCGGTGTTCGTGCTTCACGCGTCATCAGAAGTAGTGAGTGCTCCGAATCTGCAATTCCCGTGTATCAATCACTTCCGACACGCATTCCAGTCTGAAAATCTGACGGTAAGTAAGGGTGTAAAAATGACAGACGCATTGAAAAAAATATTCATAATTATCGTGCGCTAGGTAAAACTAAAATGCGTGCAAACGTTAAGAACGATATTTCTGCATCCGGAACGTAATATAAGCACTCCGTACATCCACGCGCTCGCGCCACGACTGGTAGAATATCTGTACAGTGATAAGAGCAAACAAGTCACGGACGATATGGAATTGACCTTCACGTTGGAATGCGTTAGTACGGTGGAAGCTCTCATAGGACTCGCCGATCTTTCTAATCGTAAGTAATCGTTAAGTTTAATAATAAAATAAGTATTTCTATCACGAAATTACATCTTGCTTGTGCGACAAAACGTTAATGTAATATATGTTACACGCTTATTCAGGAGATCTATTACAAGGTGTGTGGAAAATAGAGATTTTTGTAATATAATTTTCAGATGTTTCAATTAACTTTTTTCTTGCACTGCGATGAGTAAATTTACGGTATAAATATGACATTTTTGTAATTGAAATTACTATATAGGTATTCAAATGCTGACTCTACTTGTGCCAATTTTAATCAACTACTTGCTGGAAGGAGACGAGCTTCAACGCGCTACTAAGTATCAGGCGAGCCTTCACCAACAGAGCTTTCAATGGCTGAATAAGATCGGGCCCAAGTATCCGCAGGTATTTACAATATTTTAAAATAATAAAATATTTTGAATTTCAAGTACATATACAGTTATATATAGATATTATAATATATTGTATATATAATATATTATATTTTATTATATATATATATAATATATTATAATATATTGTAATATATTGTAATATATTATAATGATATATAATAATTATCATTATTATCACTAGGAATTTAAAACACTGATGTCACAGTCTACCGAACTGAAGACTAAATTAGAGAACGCTGTAAGGACTAGCCATTTGCAGGCGCAACGACATACTCGTCAAGTTGATCCTGTGAAACCGCAGATCAAGATATCCGCGCCGTCAATAAAACTGAAAACGGATTTCTCCAACTTTAATTAGAGAAGAAATATAATCTGTTACAGGTCAAAGGTAATCTATTAGAATCGTGTGAAAGATATTAAATAACGACATTAGCGATTCTGTTGTAATAGAGTAACGTGGTTAGGTTAGATTTACATCAAGACGACTGACTTCATTGATTATCGATCAGGTATGAATCGAATTAATCACTATTTATAATATGTTAGCATCGTGATAATTATAAAGTGATATCTCGCTGTTAGAGTATCTTACTCAACCGTACTTAGAGGTAAGAGAAAATTAGTAACATTATGGCGGATATCAGGGATAGTTAAAAGAGAGATGGATAAACTAATGTGGAATAATCAGTTAATCTCTATTATAAAATAATATTTATCTTACCATATAGTAATATTTATATATATATTTCTTCCCTATATTCTTTCTGTTTATTTATCTATTTAACTTTATTGCCAAGTACAATAACAATAATAATTGTTCCTGAATTTTTTTATCATATATCCCAAGTGTAAAAGAATAACTTTATATTAGACTTTTAAATTGTACATATTGTAGAATTTAGCACACACATACACACACATATATAGAAATTATTAATTTATTTGACAATATAAATGAAAATGGTGTTGATATTTTCTTGCCTCACACAGTTGCAATATTACATAATTAACAACTAACAATTTCATTTTATCAAGATGTATTAAAAAGTAAACAAATGCAAAAAAATATCAATATGCACAAAATTTACAAGTATAATAATATGTATAGACAATTCTCTGTGCTCAGTGTAAATTTATTAATCTACATAGTTCAGAAGTTTTATTTTTAAACTCTTGATGTAACTCTCTGATTATATTATCGATAAGAATTATTTATTTACAGATTATAAATAGATGATTCCTTCTAAGAAAATACTATTTGCCATAAAATTCATGGGTGAGAATACGATTAAAGATCAGTGTAAAATCTAAACAGATTTAATTACAAGGATACATTTGACATTCTTTTAATAAGACTGATAACCTTTGCTACGTTTTTATTTAACAACTTTACATAATACATATATGCAATGTTGTACACATGTTTATTTCAACTTAGACTTGATAGTAAAGTTAAAATATTTGATCGAACAAATGTCTGATGTGACATATCGAATTGTATATTGAGAGCTCTTTTGTAATATAATGTTTTTTTAAGAAATTTTTTTCTGACAAGAAAACATTTTTATAAATTAATAATAGTATAATACTGAGCATTAAATAGTAAAAAAAAATTAATAATCCTTAAAAATAATAAAAATCTTAATTTCTTTTGTATTTGATTGTTAAATTGTAGAAGAAATGAAGCAAGAATGAATTGTGTGGCATAAGATGTATATTAGGAAACATAATTTGAAAATCTGTGTGTGGACTTGTTACACCACAATAATTGTCTTTCCATTTAAAATTCGATATAGCAGCCACTCTCACAACGTATGTATAGAATTAATTTCGAAAATTGCATTTTAGATCTGGTGTATCATTGATAAAAATTTTCTAGGAATATGGAGAATTATTTTAATTGCGCAGAAAGGATTATTTGCTCGATAAATGTTCAACTATTTTTATATGATTATTTTAGAGAATATACATTAATCTCGTATACAACTTTTAATTGCTTGCAGCATTTGCGTTTATATACATATTTAATATATTGTATATCTGATCCATCGAACTTCCATGTACAATGAGTTTATCATGTTTATCATGTTTTATTCAATCAACAGGAATCCTCTCTGATGAACGGTACAATTGTGTAATGGTGCAATTATACGTTATATTGCTGCTGTAATCGACAGAAATAAAAATCACTTAATTCAACTGCATCTTTGCATTGATTTCTCGTATCTGTATTTGGTCTTATTGCACTATGTGATAAATTTAAAAATATATTATTTTATTTTTATATATGTACATTGACTTTTTTTATATAAGACGATAAGATAAAATACGATAAACAAATACGCTTAGTAAATGTATGGCATATATGTTACTTTTGAAGATAAAATTTAACATTATTTTAAAATAGTAATGATGTTTGGGTTTAAAGTACTAATTATTATATAATGATATTTTAAAATACCGGTGTACATTTTAAAGATAAATATATACTTATATAAAATATCGAAAATTTAAAATTTATAAAATTAAGAATTATATACGTATCATGTTTTTATAATAACTATGCATGATTATGCGTTATTTTTGTATAAAATTGGAAAATGTAAATACGAAAAATTGAAAGATGTAAATGAAAACTTTACATCTTTTATTCATAGTTCCTTTTTATTATAAGTGATTTTTATTTCGTTGTTTGATTGTTATCTTACTTTGTAATTTGCATCAATTATTACGTATATAGTAATTATGATTTTCAGTAGATCATATATTTTATTCTCTACTGTTTTATTTTAATTTGTCTGCATACACATTCTTGAAGTAACAGACCATTATTTATGTAACGCAGGTTGTCAACTATCTAGGCGGATCTCAGATGATAAACAAATATATCGTTTGATTGCAAGAGAATTATCAGAGTAACAAACAGTTTTGAGAGTGTTTCGTAAGAGTTCAATTCTCCTTAAAACGAAGAACTTATTTGAACATAGCGAACACATTCCGCGTTTTATATATATATATATATATATATGAGATTTATGAGAATATAAAAGCAATGTTTGAGACAGTGCTTAAAGTAGTTCCACGCTTGCTATCAGCGAGGAATGACCTTATCGTGGTCACCGTTGCACGTTATATAACGTTTGACAACAAAATTACAGCGAGAGATTCACAGCGAGGGGAGAAATTCAATTCGACAATTGCTTCGATCCGAAAAACTTCAACACAATCGCGCGAGATGGTGAAAGCAAAAAATACGTGCTAACAAAGCATTTCGTCAACGATCCGAAGCCGACAGATTTGAAATTGGTAGAAGAGGAGTTGCCGCCTTTGCAGAATGAAGGTACAGAGATATAATTTAATCGCACTTTCATCGTGCCGTGTGCATTGCTGATTAATGCTGACATTGCAAATAATAGTCTCTCAAACATGATTTCTTAATGAACAATATGTATACGCGATACATGATTTACATAATAAAAACTGTTATTAGATTAAATTACATGAATAATTTAGATGTCAGATAATTGAAGAATTATTTTAAATTTAAATATATATCAATTGATTTTGACTTTGAAATTTTTAGACGCTGCAAAGGCAGCATAATTATGTTAGATCATCAATCACTGTGTAATTAGTACCTGCGCCTGAAAATAAAAATTATGACATAGGTATTAAAAAAACATAATTTAACATTGACGATTGAATCACAAAAATGAGAGAGCATCAATCGTGATAGCATATCAGACTATCAATCACTGTGTAATTAACAGCTCTGATAAGAAAATACAAAAAAAGTAATATGATTTTATTAAAATATAAAAATATATAATTCTATTATTGCTTGATAATGTAAGATTAACGATCGAATTACGAAGTCGTATCAGCATTAATGCTCATGTAATCACTCAATTTTATGTATTATCTTAATTGATCATATAATATTCAAATAGCAGAAAATATATATAAAATGTTTAAAATTCATTAATTACTTGTTTAAAACTAAAAAAGATTTATTATATTAATAAAATATATAAAATACTAACTAAAATAAATATTTAATAAATGTTAAATAAAGATACAGATTACATTAACGTTAAAATAAACGTTTTTTTTTAAATGAATGAAAAGGAACTTAATCAATTATTTTAACATTTTTTAAATATTTTTGAAAATGAGTTTTAAACATATGTTATACATTTTTTGCTACTTGGGATCATCGGTTTCGAATTCATTGATTTTGAATCATATTTTCTTTTTTTTTTCAGAATATCTTGTGGAAGCCGAATATCTTTCCGTTGACCCATACATGAGACCCTACGTGCAAAGATATCCAGTTGGGATCACGATGATTGGCGGTCAGGTCGCTAAGATTGTAGAATCCAGAAATCCAAAATATCCAGTCGGCAAAAGAGTTGTGGGGAATCTTGGCTGGAGGACTCATACTATTATCAAACCAACGATTGCCACCAACGACGATTTCATGACACAATTACCACGCATTTTGCCGGATCTAGGCGATCTGCCCTCATCCTTGGGCTTAGGCATATTAGGAATGCCAGGGTAAAAAATGGAAGATATTTCCTAATGCGTGTGCGCCATGGCTTTTTAATGAGACGTATCTCCTTATCATTTAATGACAAAAAAAAGTATAAAATTAAGAAAAATACACAAGAAAATGGCGAGCACTTTTACGCTCTTTATTTGGCACTGATGATTTGCATTTACACTTTGAAATTCATATAAATCATATGCTTGCTAAAGCAGATCTATTTTTAGAGAGATTATTTATAGAAATATTAATATTTAAGAAATATATGTACTTTACAGAACCCAAACTGATCAATTTTACTTTTTCTAATTGTAAAAAATTGATGAAAAAGAATGTTGATCAATTTGACTTCTTTAATGAAAGTATTTTGCATAAAAATTTGTTTATAAAACTCAAATATAAAAATTGATTTTTTTTCTTTATCGAAATATTTATATATAATCAATTATTTTAAACATTAGCATATCATATTATTTAAAAATAACATTAGATAAATATATTTATTTGTAAAAAGTAATAAATATGTTTACATATATTTACATATATATATCATTAATATAAAATCTAAATTTGCGTTTACAGCAACACGGCATATTTCGGGCTGATGGAGATATGCAAGCCAAAACCTGGCGAAACAATTGTCATTAGTGGGGCCGCCGGTGCGGTCGGTTCTCACGTGGGCCAGATCGCTAAAAATCTAGGCCTCACCGTCATCGGTTTATGCGGCTCCGACGAGAAGTGCACCTGGCTCAAAGAATTGGGCTTTGATGCCACCATTAATTACAAGACTGCTCAAGTTGCAGCAACTTTACGTAAAATCGCTCCACAGGGCGTAGACTGTTATTTTGATAATGTGCGTTGTTAAAATACATAAATTATACATTCCTCCTAGATTAATTATCTCCTAGATATGCGCATTGTTATTTTTTAAATATTTTAAAATATATCTATTTGAGTACCTTTTAACGGCACAACGAAGAGTCATTATTTGTTGTAATTTTTAATTTTTTTCTGTAATCTTATATCAGATATTCTTTCTGTTGAAGTCTAATTAAAAATGTAAAAAACATTTGTTTTTTCCCCTATAAGGATATTATGCGTAAACTCACGGTTATACATTAATGAAACATTGATAAAGTTATGAAATTATATTTCCAGGTCGGCGGGGACATCTCTAGTACGGTTATATACCAGATGAAGCCGTTTGGTCGGATAGCCGTGTGCGGCAGCATCTCGACCTACAATGCGAATTCCTCATCCTTACCCAAGTGTACTGTTCTGCAGCCTGCGATGGTGTTCAATCAACTTCAGATGGAGGGTTTCATCGTTTCGCGTTGGATGAATCGTTGGAATGAGGGAATCGAGCAGAATTTGCAATGGGTCCGCGAGGGCAAACTTCGTTATCGTGAGACCGTGACTAAAGGTTTCGAGAACATGTTCGATGCGTTTATCGGCATGTTGCACGGCGAGAACTTCGGAAAGGCAATCGTCCAGGTATAGGTTGACATCACGAGTATGCTAGTGAAGTATCTGCAGTTCACTTTACATATATACATACTTTAAATATATATTTCTAAATATTTATATGAAATGAAAAATAAGCTGTTAATTTTATATTCTCTGTGAGCTTCCACGCTCTATATTGTGCGCTAATACCAGATGAATGTGTTTTTAAATGCCATTTAAATATGATGCAAAAAGTGTTAAGCGAAAACTTCAGTCGTTTCGAAAGATAAAATGTTGCAAATAAAATATTTTTTTAATATTTATTTTTTATTTATTTTTATTTTTTACCCAGTTACTATAATGAGTAGTAAATTTAAATAAGATTATATTCCTTTATAAATTTACGATAAATAAGATAACATGGTGAAGAAAAATGCGCTTAGCAAGTGTACACGTGTACCTTGCACGGACATGTTTATTAAATTTGATGATAAGTTTGTCTAAAGTTATGTTGAAGCAGTTAATATTAAAGTTTAAAGTAGTAATGATTTTATATGTGTTATTTTGAGGATCAATATTGAAGTATCGAAAATTTTAAACTTATAAAATTGAGAATTATATATACGTACCATATTTTTATAATATAATAAATATATGAGAATGTATATTTTTTATATAATTTGAAAATTGGAAAATTGGAAATGAAAAATTTTGCAACTTTTATATCATAGTTTATTGTAAATGATTTTTATTTTGTTATTTGATTATTATTTTATAATGCACCAGTTATTATGTATGTAGTATGATTATTATTGATAAATCATATATATTTTATTTTTTATTGTTTTATTTTACTTTATTTACACATACCTTCTGAAGGTTGTCTACATATACTTTCATATCTGAAGTAAAGGAATATTACCTTTGTAGTCATAAGTTGTCAATTATCTAAATTTAGGTGAATCCTCGATGATAAACTCATATATCTTTTAATTGCAAGCGTTATCGGAGTAATGAATAGATTTAATGTATTTTGTAAGAATTTGTTTCCCTTTCTTAAAGCGGAGAATTTATTTGAACTCAAATACATGCCGTGTTTTACATATGTTTATGAGAATATAAAACCAAATGTTCGAGACAGTAAAAACAGTTCTACACTTGCTATCGACGAGAAATTTTATCGTGATCTCACCATTGCACACTATATAACATCTAATAAAGTTATTACAGCGAGCGAAGAAATTTAATTCGACAACTTCTCCGATTCGAAAGAATTGAATACAATCACGCAAGATGGTGAAAGCGAAAAAATATGTCATAGCAAAGCATTTCGAGAACGAGCCGAAGTCGACGGATTTAAAATTGGTAGAAGAGGAGTTGCCGCCTTTACAGGATGAAGGTAGAGATAATTTAATCGCGTTGTCATCGTATTTTATGTGATTCGCTGATTAAGGTTGATTAAGGCTGGTAAATAGAAATTAAACACAAACACGATTTATTTTTAACGACCGTTGTATATACCGTTGTATGATCAATAATAAAAACTATGATTATATAATTAATTGCATGAATAATCTAGATATCAGATAGATAATCATATTTTACATTCCAACATACTTATGTTAACTTTTAGAGGACGGGAAGCCAATATTTTGGCTCTATAAGGGTTGTTTTTTCATAGTAGAACACTATAATAAAGATATAAAAATTCTTACTTCAAATTACAAAAGTTTACGAAAAAATACACCCGTTCTCTAAACGTTAAATTATACTTTGAAAGTGCTACAAAAAATAAAAGTTTACAATTATATCAGACTATATCATTGTGTAATTAGCATCTCCGTCTAGAAAATAAAAAAATTATATAACTATTAAAATAGAACTATATAGATATGTATATAAAAATATATAACTCTATTCTAGCGTAATAATTAAAAATTAAATAATTCTCAAGCGATTATTCATTATGTTATCTTAATATTATATATATCAGTCATAATAAATCATCTTATTGATCGAATTATATTTTTTTCTTTCAGAATATCTTGTGGAAGCCGAATACCTTTCCGTAGACCCGTACATGAGACTGTACGTCCAAAGATATTCGGTTGGAATCACAATGCTCGGCAGTCAGGTTGCTAAGATCGTGGAATCTAGAAATCCGAATTATCCGGTCGGCAGAAGAATTGTTGCATATCTTGGCTGGAGAACTCATACAATTATCAAACCAACGATGGATGACGACAAAGACCTCATGAAACAACCACCGTACATTTTGCCGGACTTAGGCGGTTTATCGCACTCTCTGGGTTTAGGCGTACTAGGAATGCCGGGGTAAAACATTGAAAATATTTGCTCTTATATTTGTTTGCATCATAATTTTTTAATGAACGCATTTTCTTATTGATTTGCAACAAAAAAGTGAATATAAAAATAGGAAGAAAAGGGAAAATAGAGAACACTATTATAACTCGTGTTTTCATTTACAGTAACACGGCGTACTTTGGCTTGATGGAGATATGCAAGCCAAAATCCGGTGAGACTATCGTCATTAGCGGGGCTGCCGGTGCGATCGGTTCTCACGTGGGCCAAATTGCCAAAAATCTGGGCCTCATCGTCATCGGTTTATGTGGCACCGACGACAAGTGCAAATGGCTCAAACAATTGGGCTTCGATGTCGCTATCAATTACAAGATCACACCAATCACGACAACTCTACGCAAGGTCGCACCGCAAGGGATAGATTGTTTCTTCGATAATGTACGTTGATAAAATACGTAAATTATACATTTTTATTTCCTAAATATGCGCATTGTTAATTTTTTTTAAATATTTTCTCTCTTTAAAGTACCTTTGACACAATGAAAAGACTCATTATTTGTTATAACTTTTCGATTTTTTCTCTGTTGAAGTCTAATTAAAATATGAAGCGATTTTTTCCAAGGAATATCGTGAAACCCGCCTATACTTTGTGATGCGATGAAATTATATTTGCAGGTCGGCGGAGAAATCTCTAGTAGAATTATATACCAGATGAAGCCGTTCGGTCGGATAGCCGTATGCAGCAGTATCTCGAGCTACAATGTAAATTCCTTATCCTTATTCGAGTGCAGCATCCTGCAGCCCGTGATACATTCCAATCAATTGAAGATGGAGGGCTTCCTCGTTTCGCGTTGGTGGAATCGCTGGAACGAGGGGATCGAGCAGAATCTGCGATGGATCCGCGAGGGCAAACTTCGTTATCGCGAAACGGTGACCAAGGACTTCGAAAACATAGTCAATATATTCATCAGCATGATGCACGGCGATAATTTCGGGAAGGCTGTCATCCAGGTGTAGGTCGACATTACGAGTATCGTGCATACTATATCTTAAATAAATGTACCCAGCAAACACAGTATATAAATGTTATATACTTAAGCATGTTACATGTAACGTATGTTAGTTGTAATTTCCCACTCATAGATGTAACATTTTTAATATTACATATATTACATTGTAGTTATATTGTCATTATATCCCAAGATAGCACTGACTTATCAATACATCAATGTGCTATTTGGTATATAATTACAATATAACTACAATGTAATATATGTTATATTAAAATGTTACATCTATGAGTGGGAAATTACAACTAACATGGATGTTACATGTAACCTACGCGTTATATTACCTGTTATATTCCGTTTTATTATAGCAATGTAACAATTATATATCGGTGTTTGCTGGGTATACATATATATATATATATATATATATATATATATATATTATATATATATATTCCTGAAATGGTTTGAAATATTAAGAAAACGAAAGCTTATGAAAAGTAAGTTGCGAATTTCTGCGCACTCTTAATATTGTACGTAAATGTTAAATTAAGACATTTTTAAATGGTATTTAAACGTGCGATAACGCAAAAAGTGTTAAGCATTCACCGAGAACTTGAGTCGCTCCAAAAGATCAATTTTGCAAATAAAGTCGTATTTTTTTATTTTATACTTAGTTACTAATAAGTGACAAATTTAAGATTTTACATTATAATTTTCTAAAACTAATTTTTATAAATTATCTAGTAAAATAAAAAAATATTTTTAAATAACAAAAGTTGAATAAAGATTATTTTTTAATATCAAAAGAATGTATGCAAATATACAAAGAAAGTTTGTAATGTTTTAATTCTGAAAAAAATGTCTTATCATTGATTTTATTGTCAGTCGGTAAAAACGAAAATTTTGTAAATTATCGCGGATCGATAAATTAAATTTCTGCGTTCTCGACGATACCGTCGATTTACGTCGCATCATTGTTTAGCCATCATTCTCGAAAATGGCGGCTGTATTGGACGAGGTCGGCAAATCCGCCGAAAAACTCGTGGACGAGGAAAAGAACGAGATCGTCGACGAGGAGGACGAGACCGGCGCAGTTGAAGCTTCTAAGAAGAAGAAGAAGAAGAAAAAGAAGAAGAAGGCCGGTGCGTTTAAATACGATCCTGCGGATCGTCGTCCTTGATAGTTTGCGCGCTACACATTCCTCGTTGATCCTCACGTATTTCTTTAATTTTACCGTAAAATACGGTTGCAAAGTCGCCGGGAGAGATTCATCTGCTTTAGATCATACCTGCTCGCGACATTTCGTTTAATCTCGAGTATTTAACGCAATTCGTCGTGTTGTTAAAAGCGCGCGATTTTGTCGTTGCACGAGGTATTAATGTGCTCCATTATCTTCTGGTATCAACATTTTATTATATCATTGTTGCAGTTTATTCGGAATCAATGATTTTCAACTCGTATTTGATTTGACAGCTTTGAAATTTCACCAGATTCATGTATACATAAACTATCAGCTGCTAGTAAAAGAAATAGTCTTATTAATTATAAAATATTAATAGTGAATATTTTCACGCAGGTGCTGGAGAAGCTAGCGCAGATGTTCCTGAAGGGGAAGAGGATAAAGTTAAGGACGATGATGCGGCAGCAGAAGGTATTAATAGTTTTTAATTTTTTCTAACTGATGATTATAAACTAAATTCAATAATTAATATAGTATGTTTTTAGCTTTCCATGTTAATAACTTATAATAATATCTCTTTGATTGAAATTCTTAGGTCCCACAGAGTTGGCTGAGAACGATGGAGAGAGCGAGGATGTCAAAAAGAAGAAGAAGAAGCGTAAGCCTAGAAACAAGGGTGGCATAAAGCAGCAAACAGACCCACCGACCATTCCTGTGTCGGAATTATTCCCAGATGGCAATTTCCCAGTAGGACAGATAATGGATCATCCATCCGTTGCTGGAATAGATGACAGAACGGCAAAAAATCGCTTCACTAGTGAGGAAGCACGCGCCCTTGACAGAATGCACAATGATATCTACAATGAAGCCAGACAAGCAGCTGAAGCACATCGACAAACTCGAAAGCATATTATGAAATGGGTATGTAAATCTGCGTTATTGTACACTGATTAAAATAAATTAAAATAAAGTAGATTAAGATTTGTATTAAGAGTAATAGATATCAAGGATTGTGAAACAAATCATTTTTACAATTTGCAAATATTTAATATATACATAAATATTATATATATATACACACACAAATATATATATATATATTTGTGTGTATATATATATGTATGTATAATATAAATATAATATAATATTTATAATATATATAATATAATATATATATATATATATATATATATATATATATATATATATATACACACACATATATATATATACAAATAAATATATATATAAATAAATTAATCTGCAGGTAAAACCGGGAATGACTATGATAGAGATTTGTAACGAGCTGGAGGAGACCGCACGGAAATTGATAGGTGAGGACGGTCTCAAGGCTGGATTGGCGTTCCCGACCGGGTGTTCCCGCAATCATTGCGCGGCTCATTACACCCCGAACGCTGGTGATCCAACCGTTCTGGAGTACGATGATGTTACAAAGATCGATTTTGGTACGCATATTAATGGGCGTATCATCGATTGCGCGTTTACTTTGACGTTTAATCCAAAGTACAATAAACTGATCGAGGCTGTCCGCGACGCCACCAATACCGGTATCAAGGCTGCCGGAATTGACGTACAATTGTGCGACGTCGGCGCTGTTATCCAGGAAGTAATGGAGTCCTACGAGGTGGAACTGGATGGCAGAACGTATCCGGTATGAAATATACAATATATGCAAAATATCTGTTCTAATTGCTTGTGACTAATTTTAAGCGGTTTATTAAGTAAATTTCGTAAGGAACCTTGCGATTGTTCAAATTTTTGCTGGAAAAGATCCATACAAAATCGACGAAACTAATGAAAGATTAATTAATAAGTTGAATTTTTTTACAGGTAAAGTCAATTAGAAATCTGAATGGCCACTCTATCGCGCCCTACCGCATACACGCCGGGAAAACGGTGCCGATAGTTCGAGGTGGCGAGGCAACTCGAATGGAGGAGAACGAGTTCTACGCCATCGAAACCTTTGGATCTACTGGTAGAGGCGTTGTTCATGACGACATGGAGTGTTCGCATTACATGAAGAGCTTCGATGCCGGTTTCGTGCCATTGAGACTGCAGAGCAGCAAGTCTCTTCTCAATACTATCAACAAACATTTCGGTGAGTGACCGAACAAAAACATTCTCAGTTTAAAGCTCCTGGGTCCTTGTAGCAACCATGTTAAATTATGACGTCGTTTGAAGTACTGTTTCAATATCTTGAACTCTTTCAATATGTTGAAATATCTTTTATTTCGAAATAGCATCTAAGAATCTTTAGTTTATTCTTGCCTCTAATGTCACAATTCCAACATGATCGGCGAGGAGTCAGGAATCTTAAAAAATAAAATTGAATTAATCTGTTTCTAATTCCATGAATTCTCCAGGTACGTTGGCTTTTTGTAAACGCTGGTTGGATCGTGTCGGATGCACCAAGTACCAAATGGCACTTAAGGATCTCTGCGAGAAAGGCGCCGTAGAAGCGTATCCGCCGTTGGTCGACGTCAAGGGTTGTTACACCGCTCAATTCGAGCACACTCTCGTTCTGCGTCCCACGTGTAAAGAAGTCATCTCCCGCGGAGAGGATTATTGAATAAATCAATCATTAAATGCATCATTGTTGTGTTTTACATGAATCACTATCAAATGTGTCAAGATGTATTTTAATCTCGATGTAACATCATTGTCAAAATCTTGTATTGTTCGATCCATGTGCGGCGATGCACGAATGGTACACACGTGAATGAGAATATAACCAATGTAACACACGTGTGACACTTGTTAAATGTAATATACGTAATTTTGTTTTCCCGGTCGTAAGCATCATAGTACGATGTCGCGAGTTGAGACGAACGAAAGCGCATTTTGTGATTTCTACTTATTGAACATCAAATGCTTTTTTTTTGGAATATGTGACTGAACAATAGAACTTGCATTTCTTTTTTTTTTTTTATCATTTCTATAGATATACGCTGATACGCTTTGAGAAAAGGATCGTAATTTGTATTCGTCGTAACATTTTTAAATCTTTATTACTGATTTCTTACACTCTTACACTAAAATGGAAATGACGGGAGGGGGGAATGGTGTGTTTAGTGTTATTGAATAAAATATATTTAGGATTCGAGATTTATATCATTGCGATGATCTTATGGTCCTGAATATCGTGTAATTAAGTTTTTAATATTAGAATGATATAAACGTAGAGAGTCTAGTAATACATACGTGTGATAATTGTACAAAAAACAGAAAGTATTCTCCATTTGTGGCTTCTTTATAGCGAATATAATCTCTCTATACGTCGATATATTTCCCTACACATTTTAAAAGCGCGAATTATATGTCAAAGTCTTCGTGGATTAATCGATAAATTAAAGGTGTAACAAATTCATGTCTTATATTATTTTTTTATCATCTTAAGAGGCTGCGCGTGTTTTTGCAAGATTTTTAAAATAATGCACTATGATATAATAGCAACAATTGTTACTCCGTGTCTTGCTAACGCACTTATTTCTCTCATTATCGTATAATGAAGTATAAGAACACATTTCGCGGAGAGTTCTGATCTATTCTTTCTTATCCTCCGGTGGAATATTTATTTCTAGTGGCATCATTTTATAACTATAATAAGACGTAATTTGACGTTTAATAGTACACGTGAAATAAAAGCGGTTAGTATCATCATTCAAGTCGGATAAATTCGTCACTACACTGTAAAAAAATATGTAATATATTACACAAAAGTATGTAAAATTACATAAATAATAAGTGTAAAAGTACACGATAAATAATCAAAATGTTTACCTTTTCATTATTTATCGTGTAATTTTACATTTATTATTTATGTAATTTTACATATTTTTAATGTAATTTTACAAAATTTTTTTACAGTGTACACAGCTACGTAAACTCACGACGTCAGAAGTTACCGCGACAAATAAACTAATGGTGAGTCGTGCGATTGGTTGCGCGTATCTTTAGGGAGAACCCGTTTTATGTTTAAGGTGACTCGAGTTGAGGTCTTTTTGTGACGTGTTAAACAAGAATGCGAGTAATGCCACTGTCGATAATCCGAATATTTTCTAGATGCCCGAATCGCGTCGAAGATCATGGAAGATATCGTCGGGACTTTTACTAAGAGAGGAAAGGAAAGCAAAAAAACGACTATACATATAGGTGTACCTCGTATAGACGACATGTGTCTAAGGATATTCGCGGATCCAGAACTCTCGCGCGTACTTCGACCGATTAATCCTAAACGGTACAGAATATTTCACTTATAACGAAACAATAAATTTTAATTTTACTTTATTGCGCAAATAATAGTCCCAGCAATAATACTTAAAAAATAATCTATATTTATCGTTTTGTCGTAAATTTTATAATATATAAGAATTCTTAAAAAGAAAAAGTGAATTTTGGAAAATTAAAGGAAGCATTTCGTATCGTTCAAGATCAAAAGATCGAATCGGAAACGAATAAATTCTTTCGCATTATCTTATCTCACCATTTATCTACTCTCGCTACTCTGTCTATTGTCAATTTGTGTCGCTACTCTGTCAAACTGTATTTATTATCATGTTAACTATCGGTGCTCTCGCGACGAAATCACCTTTGTGTTTTCTCGTAAGAAAAAATACGCTGGTTATTATATATTCGAGTTTACACGTATAATAATTACCGGATTACTTTTTACTACATACGATAATTACTGATATAATAATCGTATGTAATAATATATACGTTATCGCTTGTCGACGTCATCCTAATTGGTCATCAAACTAAGCTCGGCACACTGAGGTTTACTATTTATTAAACACGACAAAGACACGTGATTGGTTGCTGATTGTACATCGAGACACCCGATACGTTCTTACGAGCCCTTTGCTTGCGCGTTATCCGACCCAGATGGAGCGACACCGTAATTCGTGATGTTTAAGCCATAAAGAGATATAAATCCTAATCTTTGTGACACAACGTCGTTTGGTCCTTCGCATTGTTCTGGGAATGATTTTACGGTGGATTGACTGTTCTTTTTTTTCTATGAGATAAATCTTCTATTGATCCTCTCCTCGCTTATAATCGAGCGATGAAATTCGTGGCGTATTTTATCTTAATAACGCTCATTATATAACACACCTTTCGTCGACGCGCCAAATGAGAGACGCCGCAGTAATCCTCGTGCCAACGAAATCAGATGTTACGCGTATATACATGTTGATTGCGATCGATAAGGCGTCGAGGTATGAAATTACACGAGCCATCCAAGCGGATCGAGATCGATCGATCGTTCTATTCATTCGAGCGCGACCTCCGACCTTCGTTTAGGCTCACTGGGACTCGGTGCGAGGCCTCAGCTTCGCCCTCGCTGTTACCAAGAGATTGCTCGACGGCTCCGTCGTCGCCTGCGATTGCTCTTGCTGCGAACAGACAATTGCTTATTCAATGCGAGTCCCATTCACGTCGAGAAAGAAGTAGATCAGAGTGCATCGTTAAATTTACATTTGTATTTGTAATTTTATTTTATACGTGTGACATCAAAAGAGATATCTTGACTTGACAATTGAAAAATTCCACACATAGAATTTTTTCTTAGAATTTACTGAAAATCACAGTAATCGATTAAATATTTACCACAATAAAAATATTAATATATATCTACTATAATAAGTTAATATAAAATATGTTCGATTGATTTTACTCTGTGTGTACATATTAATAGTTTTTATTGTGGTAAATATTAATCAGAGAAAAATTATAAAATTCTCTTATAAAATTCTTCCAACATTATATTGTTCTACAATTACCATAATTTTTTAAGTAAATTTTAAGAGAAAATTCTTGCAGAAAGAACTACAGAATGTCAAAATGATCGAAGATTCGAAAGATTTAGAATATCGAGATTTAAAAATTGAACATATATCGAATTTTTTCGAGGATTTCATATAATTAATTTAAAGATCACAGGATTTCATTCTAGAGATTTAAAGGTGTTAATTTAAGAAGAATGAAATTAATTATACATATATATGTTAAATTACCGTGATTTGAATGTGTCTTGCTCTTTGCTCGATCGCTCTTTGCAATGCGGTTCTAGGATCGTCCTTATAGCTTTCTTCCCGCATCCTTTCAGCTTCTCTTCTTGATGCGGCTTCCCTATGTTTCTCCAAAGCACGTTGCAACTCGCTCTTCTGATTCAAGACGTTTTTGCCACTGCGAAAAGAAAAAAATATTAATAATTAATCCTTATTCAAGCAGTTTCTTCCTTTAATTAACTTTTGTTATGTGTGAAATAGTAATTTTAATTTTATAAAAATATTTTTAATGAAAGACAAAATATTTTTAGACGCACAAAAAAAAGAAATAAAAATTGCGCGAACGAGAAGATAAAAATATAAATTGGTTGAAGTACACTATATGAAATTATATTGTTTTTATCGCACGTGGAATAGTCACGTGCTATATTGCGTGCTAAGATAAGAGTCGGTGAGCGTGAACTACTTAATTTCATCGAAGCGTGAAGAATCGCAGGTGTGACGAATACGTGTACATACTGATTAGACGCGAAGCGAAATTACGTATAAGTATATATTCGATTTTTTACGTCTGTCGAATAATCGCGTGATCGAAAAACATTGAGCGAGAATTATTTTTCAAGATGGCATACATATTACTTCTCTCTTTCTCGTCGTCTTATATATTATATAATCTATATAATTTCTGATCACGCTCGAATAATTCACATATAATGAAAATGGATGATGAAAATGTATTATGGCCTCCGGTCAGCTTTCATCAGGAAGTTTTCTACGCTGATAATTGGCTTTCCATTTTCATCACGGATATTAAATATATATTCCTCACGATATTAATTAATTCTTTATATACTTATGAAAACGCGGAGGTAGACACAGTAACAAGTAAAACATTTACTTTTGGAATTATCTTTCCTTCGAAGTTCCTTCTTTGCTCGGGGATAAAAGGTCTTTTGTCAAATTTAAAGATACCCGTGGGAAATTAATAAAAAATCATAAAGATATTCAAAGAAACTTCAAAGTGATAATTTATTAAGAGAAAATTTAATACTAAAAATATAAACATTTTAAAAGAGGATTTAAAATTTTGTTCGATTAATGAAGTTTTTCTAGTAGAAAAGAAACGATACAACATTTATTTCAGGAAGTGCTGAATCGAATAAAATATTTATTACAGTAAAGAACTTTCTATTATAAAGAGGCACTCACTCGTCCGTTCAGACATTATTTTTCTATAAGTTAATTTCTTGAAAGAAAAGAAAGTAGAAAAATTTTTGGAAGCACTCACATTTTCTGATTAAAGAGCAACTCTCTGTGCAGGTCCTTATGATTATTGGAGGTAAGGCAAGGGTTATATGGTTTCCTCGGCAAGATCAAGCCATCTGGTCCCATGTGAGGAGCCGGTGGTGGCGGAGGCGGTACGCCTAGAACCGGTGCCATCTTTTTTCCTGAAAAAAAAAATCATAAATTCTATAAATTATTCATTCAAAATAAAAATTCGAATAATAAATACGTGATAATTATGTAGTATCACTAATAAATCTCCAATCTTCGCACGAGAAATGAAAATGAATCCAAGTCATAGTCTGATTCATTTGATTAACAATTCAAAGATATAGATCCTAGAGTCGAAAAATATACAATTATATGTACAATTGATTAAAATAATTAAATTTTCTTTCCAATATTTTTAAGAAAGTGGATCAGATATTGTCCTGAATTCTTTTATTATAATAGAGAGTGAATAATCAAGTAATCTCATTCACGATTAATATACTCGATTTTTCACATTTATATTAAAGTTCATTTTAATTATATCACTTTATCAAATTTTAATTGACACTTGCAATAAATGAGGAAATAAGGGGAACGACTTTTAAATAACTCATTCATATATAGCTCGAGTAATAAAATATACGAGTATAACACTTTCGTCAAATGTATACTTTTTCTCTCACGAGATAATCGGATCGACGACGTACGATCGTTATATCGTGAACATTTTCAATGAATTAGCGATTAATAAATTCCACGATTGACAAGTATTCACCCTCTAACCAAGCTATTCTCGCCCTGACCGAGCTCTGCTCGCACATGGTGGTTGCACGTATCGCGACTGGAACATTTCTGTTCGAGAACACGAGAGACGTATCAAAGAGAGAGAGAAGTTCTATATATTTTTGCGTAAGGCTTCCCGCGCATATAGCTGTTAATAGGATCTTGGGGAAACACGCGCGAACGAACCAACGTCGCCTCTCAAGGTGAAATAAACGATGCCGTTTCCGTTGCGATCGAACGGGGTCGAGCGTTTTAACCCTTCTTTGTTAGACTTACATTCATATATTCTGTCTTTAATATCCGTTTGTAACGCGATGGGCGAGGCGAGGCAACGATGTAATTCTGCTGCAGCCAGAAACGTCCTTAAAAATATATCGCGATTAAATATTAAAACAATCGATCGTATCGATAAATGTTCGATGCTCGTGAATGAACAGAGTCATCGAGAAAAAAAAAGAAATGATGATATTCATTAAAAAAATATCCACTGTTTGTTTTGCGCATTTCGACGATACTTCCGTTCTCTTTACGCGAGAAAACGCAACACATGTCTTCAGATAAAAATCGTGTCGTTTCGAAATCACAACTTGAGAACTCGAGAAGACGTACTGTCGTTCCGCGTTGCGATTTTCTCTGTGTACTTATTGTTAGATTCGCTCCTTGTCCCGAGAACATTTCAAGTCCTATCGACAGCTCGATATATCTGTCAGTATATATTTGCTCTTAGTATAGTTTATTCAAGATAAATTCGCTTTAGTTTATTCAAGATATCAATAGTTCATCTAAATCGATACTGCGTATCAATTTTGCGAACTTGCTCTGATAACGCTGTAATTTTTCATCGATTAAATTGAAAAGTGAAAACGACATATGTCGGCTCTTTTGTCGATCTCGATTGATTTGATTAATCTCTCAATTGATAGAAATTCACTGTAGGAAAATTTGTGTTTTCTTGTTAAAAACGGTCCTCGTTAAAATTTTTCTGTTAAATATTTAACATATTCATGTGTTAATTTAACATATTATTGTTGTGTTATAATTGAACTTAAATATTAAATTATTCAAACAACTGAAAAAAGATGTAAAAATAACGCAATGTGCATCTATTTTTAATTTTACATAATAAATATGGTCTGTTTTATTAGTGACAAGATTTATTTGTTAAACATTTTTTTAGTTAATTTTTACATTAAAACTATGTTAATTTTACACAAAATTATTTTAAATTACTTGAAGTTTCGCATTTATTTTGTGTTAAAATATTAACACAATATTTGTGTTTCCATTTAGCATATCCGTATTATGTTAAATTAACACAAAAATTTCTGTGGACCGTTTGGAACATGTAATATCTGTTAAATTAAATATAAATTTTTCAACTGTGTTGCTTTAATATTAATTATATTAATTAATATGCGTTAATAAATATATTTTTAAGTAATGTGATTAATTTTATAACAGAGTAATGTGGGAAGAATATATATTGTAATTAAATGTATAAGAGGATCAAGTAATTCATTAAAAAATCGTAGTTTAGCCAAAAATTTCTTGCAAAAATACAGGCGCCAAATATTCCATGATTTTCGCGATATATTCGTATTACAGGAAACCGGGCAAATTTATTTCAAGCTACCCGATGAAGAGTTCGATCGAGGCGGGAAACCAGGTCGCGAAAGTAAGTCGATGTTTCGTTCGCGTGCATCATGCGGGTTGCATACGCGATTTTATGGAAATCGGATGATAGGAGCCATTAAAAAACTGGGAGAGGTCACACTATTGAATTAAGTTAACTTCAATTCTCAAACACTCGGAAAATAAGCTGACTCGTAACTTCATTATTAAGTATACGTTAAGTTTTTACAAAAAAATAAAATGTTCTAAATGATAAAATATCAATTACATATGACAATATTATTCTTATTGAAAAGAAAAAAACGATTGATTTCATGAATCGGACAGTATCCCTTAACCGTTCGTTCACCGGTAGAGTCCACTCTATTTATTTATTCAGAGTCATTGACTTGCCGTTGCGGTGCATTGATCCGAATTTTTGAAAGCGCGAGATAACGCGAGAATTGTATATATGTATGTGTGCAGCGCATCATTACCGCACATAAACGTGCGGCATCGAGATAAGTCAGGTATTCGATAATGAATATGAATGTATGAAAATAGTGATTATTAATGACGACACGAATATAGATATATTTAATGGCTCCTTTTGAAAATCCTCATTAAAAAATACTTAAGCGATAAGGATACTAAATTTTATCAGGCCGAGTTTCATACAGCTTGTAATTATCGTGTTTTACACGAATAATAATATTAATAAATAAGTAACGACGAGATTATTTTCTTCGATATTATTTTCGTAAGATTTGCAATATCTTATAATAATATAATTTGCTTTAAAAATATTTTCATTATTTTATATTCTTTTGCAAGTTTTTTGGAAAATTGATTATTCTTCGGTTTTTATTTAATTGATTAAAAAAATTAATTAATTGGTACACACATCATGTGCTAAATCTACATACGAATCAATAATGTAAATTAGTCTTTTTATGTTCCGATGTCCTAATTTTATTGAATTGTAGAGCATTTCCTCGAAACAGCGCTGAATTAAGTGCATCGAAGCATGATGCAGAAAGATGACGTCGTACATACATATACATATACACAATGACAATCGGACGTCTGTTACGCGATCATCTGCTTATGCGTCACGCGTCGTCAGCCTCGCGAATGTCACTGATCCCGATCTAATTTAAAGACGAGAAATTGCACAAAGCTATAGTTAATGAAGTTTCACAAAATCGATAGTACCGAATCTATAAAAAATACATCGCATGCTACGTCCGACAAATAAATATTTCAATTTGCAATCCACGATGTATCAATGCATTTGTGAAAGCTCGCTATTATTGCTAAAAGTTTCCGCCTTCACTTTTAGTTTTCTATGATAAATGATAACAAATATAATGCTTTCGTTACGTACATTTTTAAGCAACTGGAATATTTTTATATAATATTTCTATAGAATAAATTTTTGTATAATTTTATATATAAAATAATTCTATAATAATTAATAATAATAATAATATACAATAATAATTATATAACAATATATAATAATTTATATATATACATACGTACATATATATAAATTGAAGTTTAATTTTTTCTTTATGCTAATGTATAATTTAAAAAAAAATTAGATTTATTATCTTGTCTTTTATCAAAGATAAATTTTAACAAAAATGCAGAAAAAGTCTCTGCAAAACATTGGAAAAATATATGAACCCGAATAACCTGATAAGGACGTCGTGACGTTTGCTATCTTGACGCGCGAATCTTACGAACGTTCCTTTGTCGCCATTCATATGCAAAGTTGAAAAGAAACCGACACCGATGATAATGCAAAGTCGAGCAAAGTGCATGCAGGTATCAGGATAACAGGATTATAAAAGAGCGCTTCGTGTCATGTTTGGCATTTTATTGCTGCACTTGTGTGTGTGTGTGTGTGTGTGTGTGTGTGTGTGTGTGTGTGTGTGTGTGTGTGTGTGTGTGTGTGTGTGTGTGTGGACGGAGAAAGAGAGACGATTGAATTTCGATCAGTTCAATAACTCGTAGTATATTATGGTGATATAATTCTCTTTCTATATTACTACACACGCGATTACGTTTTAATTTGACGTTTCGCAATTCGCGATACAATCGCAAATCGATAAGATGCCAGATAAGATGCCGCTTATCCGAGATTTGCTAATTTGCGCAATTTTTTTACTATCAATATCCCTATCTGCTTTGATATTTTTGGCGTTAAAAAGCGATCTTTTCGTAAACTTGTAAATTTTATTAGTAAAAGAACCAAAAGAATATTCAGCAAAAAATCAAAGAATTCATAAAAATTTTGTATTAAAATTTCTCTTCATAAATCCTTTGACTTTTTCATTCAAAATCCAAAAGCTTATACAATATGATATTAAAATTGCAATATAATTATTTTAATTTAAAATTATATTTTAAAATATGAAAATTGCAACATAATTAATCTTCATTTTTATTTTCAGCGAATTTATCGAGACGTTAAAAATTGAAGAACGTGAGTTAAAAATTGAGAAACAGTCCGAGGAAGCAATCGAGATATACTCGTAACTTTGCAAATAAATTACATCGTTTCGATAAAGTTTGATTCCAGTACAACATAGATTCCGGAATAAAGCTCATCAAACTTTTCCGCTTCTTCATTCATTATAACGATCCAGCGTTTGCAACTTTCGATAAATGCATTCGCTCGCATATATTGATCCTTCGACGTGGGCGGTCCTTATCATCGCGAGGGAACCGTATCGGATCCGGATTGTTGGATTTTACGAGCGAAAAGTGAATTTCATCCGGCGAGGCGCGACGCTAAAAGCTGTTAATCGCGTGCGGAGCGAAGCGTGTTTTTACAGCCACGTGAAACCGACGTTGCTCCCGAGACATTAAAATTAAAAAAACATATGTATAGATACGTACGTATACGGGCGTGCCCGAAATAATAACGAGGCTCGCGAGATCCGAATCGAAAGTATCGCGAAGTATCCTTTAACGACACTTTCTTCGATCTCTCGATAAGGAAAAACTCCCAACTCTCACTTTCGATCCTAGGTAAACGGCGTCTTGGCGTTCAATATACGATCCATCAAAGATTTTACGAAGCTGTAAAAATAATATTCTCCTATGGCCTATAAATTTCGATTTTATTAACAAACCCATTCTACCGTAAACTCGATTTTTCCTCTTAAGAAAAATTTCCTTTTCCCGCAATTCTTATACAGTTGGAAAATTTGTGTTTTTTCTTGTTAAAAAAGGTCCCCATTTTTCTGTTAAATATTTAACACATTCATTTGTTAATGAAAAATATATTGATGTTGTGTTAATTGAACTTGAATAGATATCTGTTAAATTTAACAGAAATTTTTCAACTATATACGGTTCTTTCAATACGTGTTAAATGCGATTCTCCAAATAGTTCTGCTAATTATTTAAATTTCAGCATGAAACAATAATTCCTTATTTAGTTGCAGATTACCTGGCAATTGCAATAAGATTCACGGAGCACAATGTACGAGTATTGAATGAAAGAAAACGCGAAATGATAAAAGATAACATTACCATTAAACGAGTTTTTTTCTGTACAATTAGCTTTTTTCATGGAACGAGTTCGCTTAATCACGGGTTTCTCGAAGAGGATTCACTCTAAATTCGAGAGAAACGCGCGGCGCTCGAAGTCGTAACAATTAAGACCATAATTCGCGGTTACGGTATAATCGTTAATTATATTCATCAACAATTAAAATCTAATTACAAAATTATCCGCGTATCGCATATTGTAGCAGTAATTAGGGTTATCCTTGAAGCCTGCCTAAGGAGAAAGATGATTAGACTCTCGTCGGTAAACGCGATCGTGTTTACGCTTTCGATCGTTTTATACGTTACGCCGATCGCGGATTAAATTAAACATGACATAATAATAATCTAATAATCCGCGACGCGATGCGAACTCAAGATATTCTGTTATATCCTATTCTCTTCCTCCTTCCTGCTTTCACCGTCGGCTTACCTAACTTTATCATCGTTACAAGCAATTGATTTCATGTCAAACAAAAAAGATCAACTACAATACAGTCATTATAAAACTGTCTTAATAATCGTCCAAAAAGACGATTAAATGAATAATAAAAAGTAAAGGGAAAAAAGTACAATGAAGAGATTTTCAAGCGTTTATTATATATATATATATATAAAATAAATGAGGGAGAGAGAAATTTCTTCATGTTCTTTTTTTCCTTGAATAATATTCGTGAAACGTTGCAACGTTCTTCGTACAATTTAAATGAGATATTTACATTTAATTACTTTTTTCTTCACTCCTTATTAATTTCGAAAATGCGCATTTTAATGACCAAGTCTTCAATTTAAATAAAGAGCAACAGTTCATCATCTATTTAAATCCTCGAAATGATAATTGACGAGAAATTTCATTTTCAACGGTTCGTTGCTTAAAAATTACAAATTGTACATCTTCAGTATATAATTCTCACATACATCTTTGTCAAAAAAAAAAAAAAAAAAAAAATCTACTCCAAATTCATAAAGTTCGATGTTATACGAATCGTCCTCGCGCGATAAGAAAATTACACGGAACGAGGGGGATGATTTGAACCCCCGAAATGCATCAAAGGATTAATTCTCCCCAAAGAAAAAGTGGGGGAGAGTCCTGTTCGCGTAGAGATACGCGGATGACGCGAATTAACGAGTGGGACGAGAGGGATGAAATGCGCGTAAGCCGGGCCGGAACGTAATTTTCAGGCAGATGTGCGACCACGAAAGGGAGATCATTGCACCGGCAAGGAGCAGCTGAAGTAGCGTGAGAAAATGCGACCGGATCGTCAACGTTGTGCAGGCACACGCTCTCGCTCGCTCATATACACTCGTCGGAATGATAGTGACCGAAGGGCAAAGTCAGGGCCGTCGCAAGACGATGGATCGTGTCATGATTACGGGGAAAATGTACTTTCCCTTTCTCACCCTCCGGAGAGTCGCGCGAGAACGGAATCCTCATTATTATTCGGGAAATTCTCCGTGTGCTATATACGTATAAAATGAGTTATTAAAATCCCTACTCTGCATCGATTTAGAGAGCGCGATGATTTTTAGTACTGCATGTGGAAAACATTATTATGCAATTAAGAAAATATCGTGATGACTCGATATGGAAATTTGAAAATCATACATTATTTTTAATATTAAATTATTTGCATGTGATCTTGTGTCTCTTGATCTGTTATTTATTTATTATCTATTCGATGTAAAATGGATGAATGCTTTAGTTGTTTATATCTGAATTGATGCTCTTATGTATTATATAATTTATATACTATATTTATACGACATTTTTGATAGACAGATTATAATTCATAAATATAGGTTTATAATTAATATATTTGGCTTTGCGAGTCCACTTTTGAAATTGTGGATATAATCGAAGAAAACGTAATTCTATGAAAATTTTTTTTGATAAAAAAAATATGTCAACAGCATTATAAGTAAACTACATGTTACATGTGAAAAAAATAACAATTAAAAAGTCAAAGTTAATCTTCATTAATTTCGTAAAAAGAAATAAATATATTTCTACCAAAAAAAATGATCGATCGTGATCTTTTTTTATCTATAAGATTCGGGTGAATATATTTGATATCTTTTCTAGGATAAAAGAGAAAGCCACATCAAAGCACATGTTGCAAGCGATTGTACGCAATTATCGATGGTAAAATATATAGCTGTGCTTTTATCAAAATATAATTAACGCGAAGCAATTAGATTCACGCACGTCGTATAAACGCCGTATAAAAATGTCGATATGAGACGTATTTAATTTATGAGGGAAAACCCGTTAGCTGTAAATTAACCATAAATTTCCAGCAAATGTGAAGGGGCTCGAACATTAGAATTCAATTAAAACGATAATATAGAGTTATAGGTAACGTTTCACTCGTAGATTACATTTTCTACAGAGCAATCTATATAATTTAATATGCTCTTAAGATTCATTCTAGCATTGGCAGAGATAAGTTTTATAAAGTAGATATATTTAATACTGGCCATAATTAAGTCGAGTTAGAAACTAAAAATGTGAATTTTAGTAATGTTAAATAATAAAATAAAATTAATAAAAGAAGATTCTTGTAACATTTCCGTCTTTAAGAATTATTATTTATATATTTAAAAAAAATACGAGTTAAATAATTAACACTTCATTAAATTTATATTTTTACTATAAGAATTCTTATTATAATAAAAATAAAAAAGGCTTGTCAAACAGCCTTAGTACAGTCCTGAACTGTTTCGCATAAATCGACGACCTTCTTTTATACGACGGAATTTTGTCAATGAAACTAAAGCACCGACGAGTGCATCAAATGAATCTAATTTCGTCATCTCGTTGATTGCGTCTCTTCACGAGAGAATGAATGAGGAAGAAAAAAAGATAAAGAGAGAATGTTGTATCAAGTGACTCACCGTTTGTCAAACCGTCGACGTCGTCAGTGTCGCACTTGAGACCGTTAGTAATCACCTGAAATACAGATAGACTCATTTAATGTCAAACATTATGATTACAGTGAAAAGAGATTCGAAAAGTCGAATCGCATCTCTTGAATCGTAACAGCTAACGATTCAATCAATCAATTTAACTCTTCTGTCGAAACGAAAACAAGTATTCGAAACAACTTTAAATGCACTGAAAAAAAATTATTAAATTAATACTATTTATTTCAATACTGCCTTATCAATATTTGAAACAAATAAATATTTAACTGTTTGAAAAAGATTTTCTTATATATTAAATAAATATTTTTTCACATCAAATCAATAGTATTAAGTTTCAAATAAATAATTTATAAGGCAGTATTAAAATAAATATTTATTTGAATTTAATAAATTATTTTCAGTGTGTTAAAAATGTATCGAAACTATGTATTTGAAAATTTTCTAAAATATAGGTAATAAAAAAAGTGCTCGATACTCAGCAGCTGGTATAAAGAAATTGTCAAAGCTATAAGAATTGTCAACTGTTAATTGTAAAAAGTGAAAAAATTATGCATTGACAGAAGAGTTAATTTGAGATAAACTAAACAAAAAAAAAAAAAAAAAAAAAAAAAAAAAAAAAAAAAAAAAAAATTCCTTCTATTTGCATGACTAAATATTTTAATTATATTCGTGCGTGTCGTTGGATCATTTTCGATATTTTGCATGATATTTTCCACGTGATCGTTCATATCTTGGAGACAAAAACGATCTCCGATCTCGCATCTGCTTCGCCCGAGGGCTCGGAAGAATCGAAAGTCGGCTTCCTGTCATCGCGTCATCGTCATCGATGATTTCACTCAAAGATATATCACTTTTACTCGTTGCCATACGCCAACCGTGCGGTTATTCGATTTGTAATTGCGATCGCGGCTCTCGGATTTTTACGAAATCGCCGTTCGTTTCCACGGACTCGTGTAAAATCGGATAAAGCCACCGCTTCCGGTTACTATCTAAAAGATGATGACCGGTAATTGCAGCGGTTTTCCATCCGGCATGGAGGCTGCGCTCGCCGTTAGTCATCATAATCGTTAAGAATATATAAACATGACGAAAATCATGTATTACGCATGGGAAACGCGCATATTAATCACGCAAACTCATCTATCAAGTCTATGTTAATGATATAAAATTAACCGTTCGCTTGCAATATAACCTGCAAGATACAATCCTGGGAAAGCCGTTCTAATCCCTAAACGCGCAATTTCTTTCCGTTATTTACGAGGAAATCCTTTCAAGCTTCATGTAAGTTTTACAACATGAAAGGAAGCTCACAGAAAGAGAATTAATGAAGAAAATCTCTCTTATTGATTGACAATGAGACATAAAATATACATCAATATTTTTGAAGAGGAAAAAGAAATTCTAAATTTGTAAAAACTGTTGAGCTATTTAATATGAAAAATCCTTGAATTTATCTAAATACATTTTTGTAATATGTAATTCGAAAGGGAATATCTCGCGTTTTTACTTATTTCAACTTTATAGAACTTTCGTTCTCCTTATGTTTTTTTTTTTCAATACTACATATCTATAAATATACTTTTAGAGAGAGTATATTTTTTTGCAGAACCTTCAACACCGGTAGCTCGAAAAATCTGTTGCCACAAATTTCATGTGCATACCGGAAGTGTGCGATAAATTTGAGCACGCTCATTCTCACATAACTGGTTATGAAAAATGGCGATTACGAAGGCATCGAGTCCACAAAAAAGACGCATAAGACGGCTGCATGTTCGACGAATAAAAATTTCTACGTCAATTTATGATCGTGTGTGACCCGAATTAGTCACGTTTGTGCAACGTTTAAAGTTCGTAGTTATCGCTAAGAACTTCCGCCCTTGATTTTGGTCATCGACAGCATTTCTTCGATGCAAATAGAAAGAAAAGGATTATAATTATAATAATCCGATTTTTTAAGTTTTTATTATAATAATTAGAGATGCGATTGCAATAATATGTTCTATTCATCAATCTTGTAATATTATTTTATATATTTATTTTAATGTATAATTGAAATTAAGTGAAAATTAATATATTAGTCTATATTATATGTGCATTTTAGCAGCTGCTGACAGAACTTTGTTAAAAATTCTGAAAGACAATCTTGTGATAAAAATGTTGCAAAACAAGCATGTATACTCATGTATGTACGCATATACATGCGAATCTTAAAGTTCTTTTGTCGTTATTCATATGCAAAACTCGAAGGAAACCGACCAATACAACAATACAAAGCTGAAGTGCATGCAGTTAACAGGATAACAGGATTATAAAAGAGCGAACACGTGTCGTGTTTATTTGATTTCGACGAAGAAACGCTTGTTTTCTATCTCCCATTTGAATCTGTTTGCAGAAGAAAACTCTTAACGAGATATGAATCGCGCTAATATTTATTCGAGATAAATTTCGCGAGAATCATTGTAGTCTATAAAAGCAACCATGAACGAAAATTGGGTCGTTTAAAATAGATTTATATTTACACACAAAGAGCTATATAGAGAAAAAAAATTAATGCATCCGTCGAGAGTCAAGGAGAGCCAGTTTTGCAGTCGCGATCTACAATGGATTAGCACATAGAGTTCGACGTTTCTCTCTCTCTCTTGTCTCTGAATGGAATGAAACCACCGACCACCGTATATAGACCGTAAGCAATTTCGCGGGGCATCCATCCACCTATTGTATTGTGTGTAACTCGTTGCGGCGTGTGATGGTCGCTAATTGTATCCTCTCGCACGCGTTGAACCACGCGCTCCGAAGTACGAGTGACCGCAAGAGCGGCTGGATGACGGATGTATGCATATACGTATGTGTGTATATATACAGTACCCTCCATAAGTTTGGAAACACCTTACAATTAAACAATCGTATGGCAGCGATCTATGTAGATTTTTTCTATCAATAAATCGTAAAATATTTAATGACATTTTTATTTATGACAGATCGCTGCCATGCGGTAAAATGTATCACGATTAATAATATTTCAAATAATATATGATAAAAAACATCCCATTAAATTTATATTCTTGCACGTTACGAATATCTAATTAAAAATATTTTTTAGACAATTTCTCTTTTAAATTAAGAGGATCCTTTTGACAGATCTGTGCAGATTTGTTGTATAAATAAATCATCAAATAAATACGTAAAATATTTAAATAACATTGTTATTTATAACAGATCGCTGTCATGCAATTCTTGAACTGTAAAATGTAACGTGCCTCCAAACTTATGGAGGGTACTGTATATGTGTGTGTGTGTTCAAGTTACACCCCTGTATCACGCGTGTTTACGTACGCAAGCCACACGCATCGAGTAAACGAGTCAGGACGGATTCGTGAAGGGAGACTCGAACCGGGTTGCACTCCCTCCCGGAAGGAAGTAGAATGTATTAATATTTCTCGCACGACACCGAAACGCAGGACGGGAGGGAGAGGGCAATTGTCGGCGACTTACACTCAATCTAGTCGCATTTACCGCGGCGGGAAAAACATAAAAGCCAGATGGCCGAATTCTTTTGGAGGGAAGGGTCTGGGTTATTGAAATAATCCGGATGTTTGTGGGCGATGTCACAAAGTTGTGCTCTGACAGTAAGTCATATTATTGTTACGTTTTTTTATATATGCATTAATTGCAATAAAACACGCTGGAAAAAATGAATAGTAGTTAAATAATTCAAAAATTAATAAGTAATAATTAATCCAAAAATTATTATAACGGAAATAATAAGTATTTCTATTATCTGTGTCGAAAGTGTTTGGCTCAATCGTGATCCGTACTTGACCCAGTTTCGATAATCTAAATTGTTGATGCGCAATATCATGTACTATGTATTCTCAGCTTGAAATTTTTATATCATCCTAATCTATTTTATTTTGTATATATACAGAGAAAATTTTCTCTTAAAATTTACCCTGAAAATCATGGTAATCGTGGGACAATATGATATTGGAAGAATTTTATACTTAATATTTATCACACAATAAATATTATACTTAAATATCTTAATATTTATCATATAAAAAATTAAATAAAAAATATTAATATCTACCACAATAACATATAAAATATGTTCGATTAATTTTACTACGTTCATATATTAATATTTTTTATCGTGATAAATATTAATCAGAGCTCTTATAAAATTTGATTCCCATGATTTTCAGGATAAATTCTAAAAAAAATTCTCCCTGTGACCGGCAGTTTAAATTATCTTCGATTGCAACAATTCAGCACCTTTATTCACAGCGATTTATTCATAGATAAAGATTGATAGCTTTAACGCGTACTTTCGTTGAATAGGGTGCGAATGTAATCTATATATCAGAGTGTCCAGCAGACTTAATGAAAAAAAAATCCCTGACTTTTTCAGATTTTCCAAGATCAGAAATTAATTCGTTCCCTTTTAGTATTATTTGGTATTATTTTTTAGTATTATTTAGACTTATTTAGACATTTTAGTATTATTTTTTCCAAATATATAATTTGCATATATCTATATGATAAATCAATTAAATGTTAAACCATGAATCCTTGAGATATTTTTGTCAACAATGAAAAGGTTCGGAAGTAAAAAAAAAAAAAAAAAAAAAAAAAAAAAAAAATCAATTATACAATCTGCATTATGTACGATAATGAAAACAAACATGTCACTATAAACTATTTAATAAATAATCACCTATTTTATTTATATTATATCAAATTTTTAGTTTTGTCTCTATCAAACACATTGAAATAAAATAACATAATGAAAATATAAATTAACGAACACGCTGTAGATAAATCGATTTTTAACACAGAAAATTAGCGTGCTGGGAGTCAAGAAAAAGTTTATATTTATGTAATAAAAAATTTCAAATTATTGAAACAAATGTAGAATAATATGAAAAAATCGAGATAAATAGTAAAATTCCCTGACAATGCCCGGATTTCCAGATTTCCCTGACCGCTAGACACCCTGACATATGAACATCCATTCTATACAAATCA